CCCCCCCCCCCGCCCCCACCCCCGCCACCACCCCCGCCACCGCCGCCACCTCCCCCACCATTTTATGCTCCACCATCACCAGCCCCAGCATCACCAGTACCAGCCCCACCTCCCTCCAATGATCTTTACCCCAACTATACTTTAATAACTCCACCTCATTCAACGACAGCCCCACCTCTCACCGCTTCAAGTTACTCAGATACGAACGCAGTAGGTAAGGGAAATCATCAAGTTAGTTTGATAGTTTAATAAAATCGCACTTCTTGCGGTAAAGTTACTGAATTACAAGGTGATTACAAGTCTAAATAGAGGTATAAATATATACATGAATTAAGATTAGGAAATCTAACAAATTAAAAACTTTTTTTCTTATAGATACAATAACAAGCGCCGTGGCTGATACAACTCACTCTACAACATCTTCCCCGACACCTAAAGCGCACGACATGGCTTACGATGAACTGTTGAATCAAGTCTCCAATGATCCAATGCCTAACTTGGGGGCAAGTGTCCCGCCATCTCCTAACCCCGCGCAAACAGCAACCTCGCAATCTGCATACGGAAGTTCTTACGCAGCCCCAAGTCAAGCAACAGCAGGTAAACACTAACTCTATTCAGTATTGTCAATATTTACACACATTAGATACATGGTCAATATTTACACACATTAGATACATTGTCAATATTTACAGAAGTTAGACACATTGTCAATATTTACACACATTAGATACATTGTTAAGGATGCGGTACAGTCCGTATGTAAACAAAGGCTTTGTTTACATTTTGGTATCCAAAATATTGAATTTTATTCGACAACTATTTATATTTTCATGATTCTAGAGTATAATAAATTATCAAGAGACAACAATCAAGCTTTGCAAGAACATAAAATGAAATAAAAACCTAAATAAACTGTTTGTAAATAAAAAGAGGGCTCCTTTGTGCACATGCGCAGATCGGACTGTACCGCATCTTTAAAGATGTACACAGACTAGACACACTGTCAATATTTACACATTGCAAAGGCCCAGTTTAGACGGCGAGATTTTCATGCAGCGAACCAAATCTAATTAAAATACGGCACAAGTTTGGCAACTGATTTAGATGTCGGACTTAATTGAGATATATTTTTTACAGCTGAAAATGCACTAACGTCTCCCCAAGGTGACTCGACTCAAACTCCCTCTCAAGCGAGTACAACAGCTGCATATGGCAGTGCATCTAACAGCTACAATGCATTGAGCTATGATTGGTCAAGTTTTGCCGCCTGCTCTACAACGTGTGGTCAGGGGTATAAGAGACGAATTCGGAGATGCGATGTTCCACAACGCTGCTCGGATAAGATCGAGGAAGATGTTCAACTTTGTTACAATGCACCTTGTGAAGGTACAATACAATACAATAAAACTTTATTTTAACACGGTAAAATCGTCTGTACATTAATTAGATAGAAAAAAATAATTACAACTGATTTCCAAGATTGCCGTGTGGAAGTCATTTTACAAATTATAGTAATAATTTAAGGAATTCTTAAATAGTGGTAACGAACGAAGCATTCGTATATTTTGAGGCAGATTATTGCATAATAAGGCTCCACTATAACAAAGGCTTCGTTTTAAATAGTTCGTGGCTTGGGCAAATTTAGCTTTATTTCAGAGTTTCTTAAGTTGTACCCAGGTATGATTATAGAGCTTTTTTCATGGCAACTGCTGACATATGGTACATATTAAGATGTGATATAAAATAGAAGAGCTTTGTTTGAAGTTGAATTGTATCTCACCGTGCACAAATCCTTTATCTCAACTTCATTAAAAATTATTCATCATGGTTGTACATTTCATCTCAGCTATCCCTTTTGGAAAGTTACTTAATAGACCTTACCGATTATTCTCTTTTACCCAATGGCCTCGTTTCCATGTTAACTTATTTTAGCACGTTAGGGGCAGATAAAGATTATATTCCCATGTTTTCAATAACAAAGTAATTTTCAATCCTGCTAAGCACAAAACATGAGTAAGTATTTGACACGATAGCGAGGCCATTGGCTGAAAGGGGATAATCGGTAACAAATTTATTTGTATTTTAAAGCATACACTTTATGATTTTACTGGTGGCTGAAACCATGAATCTTTTAGATAAATAATAAACTGATTTATCTCAACTTTTAGGTATACTAAAGTTAGACAATGTCTTTCAATTGAAAATAGCAACTTTTGTTTACAAAATTCTAGCAGAAACAAATGATGTCCCGTCAGTATTTGCCAGTAGTATTAAGGTTGTATCCGCTCAACACTCTCATAATACCAGATTTGCTAGCAGACAGAATTTAAGTAGACCAAAAGCACGAACTAATTATGGAATACAAACATTTAAATTTATTTCATCACAAATTTGGGAGTCTATTAATCCTGAAATCAAACGATCAAATTCAATGTCAATATTTAGAAAAAGATATACTCAATTCCTAATTATTTCACAAACACCCCCCTCTAATTCCTTGAGGCAATGATATTGTATTTAATTTGTCATATATAAATATCTTGTTAAACTTTCTCTAAAATAATTTAATGAGGCAGTGATCAACTCGAAAGCTTATTGCTACTTTGATCACTGCGTGCAATATCTTTTATATTTTTTCCCCCTCTTTTTTTCAATAATATTATGTATATATCTTATCTAATTGTCTTTAAAATTTGTGTGTAAAAAAAAATTGTACGAAATTCATTAAAAAAAAATTCTAAATTTTAATTTTTAATTCTTTCAGACTTTGGCAACCCTTGGTCATCGTACAGCAAATGCAGTAAGTCGTGTGGCGGTGGTCAGCGGTCACGTTCAAGAAGTTGTATCGGTCGAGTCGCGTGCCCAGCGTCAGGAAGTGAAGTTCAAAACGTACCTTGTCTTGTTTCAAACTGCCCAGGTTCGTTGAATGTTTTAACAATGTACCTGTTTTAGCCTGGTTTTGATATGCTCGTAATGCCAGTTTATAATAGTTTATGCCTGTAAACCACATATAAATCATAAGTATTCTCTAGGTATAATCACTCCGCGTATTTTCAGTTCTAAAATGTTGTATTTCGGCTGATGAGAAAGATCGTGACTCAATCTTTACGACCGTTACAACCATATATGGAAATCAGGCTTTACTGCTCATTCATTACACCCGTGGCCAGATTTTCAGGGAAGGCGCGAGAAGTGATTTCAATAGAGACCTTACGATTTTAGGACGGCAACGCGACTGCAACGGCTACCAATACAATAGATATTTTCTGTGTTGGTGTTGTGTACTCAGGTGAATATGATGTTTGTGATGTTACTCTGAGTGGATATACACTCAGAGTAACATCACAAACATAATACAATAGATCATTGAAAATAATTGAGCAATTACAATGTATGAATAATTCAGACATTGTCCTCGCTCTATTTACAACGCCAAATCACAGATTTTGACGTCTTGATACAACGGCTGCATTCCAAGCCACAACAAGTGCAACTTCAAACTGGGTTTAGCAGAACTCTTCCCAACCATAACACCCATGTCTTCAACTTCTAAAACTGCATTAAATTCATACGGTTGATAATATACGACGAACTATCTTTACTACCATTTATTTGAAGGAGTTTGTTTTGGCCGTCGCCGTCCTAAAATCGTAAGGTCTCTAGTGGTTGTCTGAGGATACGTTGTTATAGATGTGATTTCTTCCTTAACGTGGGCGATCTCGTAGGAATTATCAAAATGGGAATTTTGTGGTGTCCGGGGATGAGAAAGATACTTGGGGGTGTTTAAGGATATTTTTGGGCCCGCTATACAAATTCAAAATTATTATCATTATTCATTTCTTTAGAAATTGATTATTTTCACAGTCAATAAATCTATTCTCTATACAAACGAATGTTGAAACGAATCTATACAAATCTCAAATAAATCTCTATCTATTTATTCTGTGTTTCTTTTCTATCTATTTATTCTATGATTCTGTTTTTTAGTTTTACATTACGATTTCAACAATACAACGCAAGAAGTGATTCGGGACATATCTGGCTACGGGAATAACGCTTACTTAGAGAACGGCGCTCAAATCCAGCCCGCGAGCGATGTTTGCGGGTCCAAGGCGGTCCTCAGCCCGCGAGGAGATATTCTCATGGAGGATTTTCGTTTGGAAAATAAACCAAAAGTTGCTATAAGTATTGCCGCTCGAATACGCCTTCAAGATACGCGAGGTTGGCATTCAATATTCAGCACGGCCAAAACAACGGATAGTGGGGAAATACGAGGTTAGTGGCAACAGAGTTGGTTTTCAGCCAATGCCTGTAGACTGGCCTTGGGTCAAAACATTCGAATTAGATTTAGAAGTGCATATGACATGAGATTTCTTATTTTCTTGAATGGAAGAACTCTTTAAGCTGTAGTGTAACTTATTTTTCAGTTTCTTGTTTTTATGGTTTGTTCCCGAGATATTTCAATTTGTTTGATATGTAAATGAGTGTGAATATGTCCGCTAATTTATGACGTCACTTTGGTTGCAAGCTCAACTTACACTGGTTATAAATCTATTAACTCTAAAAACTGTTGATGTCAGTTCACATTTTTCTCCAGTGTTTCATCACATTTACCAGTGAGTGAAGTTTGAAATTATCATCTTGGATTATAGCAGTGATATTTAATCAAATTAAAGAGCTTGCAACTAAAATGACGTCATAAATTAGCGGACATATTCATACTTATTTACATATCAAACAAAACTGAAATATCTTGGGAACAAACCATAAAAACAAGAAACTGAAAAATAAGTTACACTACAGCTTAAAGAGTTCTTTTATTTAAAATTCATGTCATATGCACTTCAACGTTAAAAAACAGCCGTATACTTCAATTACAAGATTCACACCTAAAGAGTTTTACTGCATTCCATTGTTTACAGGTGGATTTCATTTCGAGGTGGACGATGGGAAGCTACGATGGTTTCATCGCAATCAAGATGATCGTGCCGTGTTTGACGTCACAACATCCGACTCGGTCGTTCGAGCCAACACTTGGCATCACGTGATGGGCACGTATGATTCTACCGTCGCTCGGGCGAAGGTAAGGTGAAAAATGATCTCTTTAAAAATCTGGATTGTGGAGGAAATATTACGATTCCGAATACTTTAAATGTTGACTAGCAGGAGTGTTTGTATCACTCATCTCAAAGCTATGACTTGATAGCTTACGGCTATAAATGAAAACAATAGAGGGAATTGTTGAAGACAATCTAATAATTGAGTGAATTTCATAGAAATAATAGATGTCTATTATTTCTAGTGAAATTGCTCAAAATTTTGAGTCACTATGGGTGCAAGTTTTTGAGGCAAAATACTCAGGATTTTTGCAGTGTATGCGCAACTAAAAACCAATGGCTTTCCTAGTTTTTACTCATATATTTCAATGAAATCCTGGACTCGGTTGTTCAAAACTGGTTTAGCGCTAACCCTGGGTAAAATTAAACCTACTGTTTTAGTTTATGTATTTCTGCACATCCATCTGTTTCAAAACTTCAGAGAAGAAAACTCTTATCGAACCAGACAAGATTTCTGAAGAAATATTTCCAAGTTTATAACGAAGCTGTCAGGAAGTTTGCTTTGAATTTTAGGTTAACCCAGGGTTAAGTTAATCGGCTTTTGAAGAACCAGCCCCTGTTTTTTTTTTTGTGTTGGTGTTGTGTACTCAGGTGAATATGATGTTTGTGATGTTATATACTCTGCGTGTATATCATATAGATATCTTATATACACTAGATAGTGCATCTAATTATTCTGCAATTCAAAAATTGAAGCCGTGATTGCAGACTCAGGATATTCTCACGAAATGAGAAGACTCGTATGTTTTCTATTTCTTAAACAGGGAACTTCTAAACATTAAGTTAAACCTATTCCTAATACATTTTCAAACTATTTAAATGATGAAAGTTATTGTTGTTATTTAAGCGTTTGTTAGCGAGTGGGAAACTTCAACATGGCCGCCAACTATTCAAATGTGGGTAACCGCTGGAATATTCTTGGCTTCGATTTTACTGAGAGAAATGCGCTATCTAGTGTATATAAGATATCTATGGTGTATATCCACACCGGACAAGCTTGAGCATTAATCACAAACATCACCCCTGTTGTTTAATACATTTCAATGAAACACGATGATTTTTTACATTACAGGTGTTCGTCGATGGCGCTGAGAAAGGTGGCGCTCCGGGCTTTGGTGTTTTAGACACAGACTGGGGATACAAAGCATGCATCGGTACTTTCGATTTCGACGGAAGATATTTGAATGGCGAACTGGACGATTTTCAAATGTTTGATTACGCCATCAAGGACAAATTTCAAATAGAAAACTTAATCAAAACAAAATGTGAAAAACAGCTAGTAAAAAGGTAGTATAGTATATCACAGTGAGATGCTCAAGTGTCACGGAAAAAGACTGGGCCTAGTTCTACATACACATGCAAGATGTATCAAAAACGGTTAAACCAACATTGACGACTGTTATTGCGCGTTGGGTATCGTCACAGAGAAGAGATAATACAGAGACGAAACAGACATCTCGATAACCTGAATTTTTGTGTCACGCGTTCCACGCAGGTTCCACGCGCCACGCAAAATCTTCCAGCCAATGCCGTCGCTGAAATTTCATAGCAAAAGATAGGGAAAACGCCGTTCGAAAGGTGAAAATCGCTTTTTTTAAAAAAATGAGAAACCCATGGAAATTTTGTTCAATAAATTATTGTAGAATAACGATAAGCGATCACTTTTATTGATTTCTTTTTATTAAAAGTGTTAACATAACATTTTATTTTGCAAAAGTTTGTTTTTTTCCTATCTACTCCTTATTAAAATCGTGAAAAGCACTGGCTGGAGGTTTCAGATGCTCATATATAAAAAACAAAGCAGCGAATGATATAAATTCCTCAAAATATAACTCTCGCATAAAAAAAAACATGAATACTTCTATAATACGTATAGTTTTTTCTCTGCATGGTCAAAATTTAATAAAATATTGAATTAATATAATTTTCTATAGTAAATAGACTGAATATATCGGCGTGACACAATGGACCTTTGCCCTTATAACTAAAATTTTGATCTAGACAAAAATTTCATCACAGCTTGAAAGAGCATCACAAAATTAGTAATATTCCAAAGTTTTGTTTGCGAAATGTTGTAGAATGCGGATAATATAGCCTTGCGAAGTTTGCCGTTTTTCAGTATTTTGGATTACGCACGGGAAATTGACAGCCCAATCGGGTGTTGGGGCATCAATTTCCCGTTTGTAATACAAAATGACTGAAAATTGCAAATTTCGCAAGGCTATATTCGCATTTTACAACATTTCGTAAAGAAACTTTGGAATATTACTAATTTTGTGATGCTCTTTCAAGCTGTGATGAAATTTTTGTCTAGACAAAATTTAGTCTATAATGCAATCCATTTGGCGCGTGTTTCCTCTCTGTACTATCTCTTCTCTGTGGTGTCGCGGTTTCGATACTTAATCTTCAGAGCAAGCACGTCTGAGAACATGGTTTCGATTCTCGCTGCAGAGTTCTGAGTTAGTTCACCGTAATCAGACAAAACATTTTTTTTAAATTGAGAGCCAAAAGTCTGAAATTTATTGATAGGAAAGGGATTAAAGCCCCGTTTACACTACGCTTGATTTTTGGTACCGTGCTACTTTTTTGGTTCTTGGACTACCTAAATAGGTGGTAGTCTAAGAACCATAAAAGTTGCACTGGTACCAGTTTTATCCGTGCCGTACCAAAAATTGAGCGTAGTGTAAACGGGGTTTACAGTCGATTTCACGAAACTTTGACCACAAATTTTCCGAACTTCGTTGCGAAGTTCACAAGATTGTTGCGAAGTTCAAAAGTTCATAATGAGATTCACAAACCAGTTCGTAAACTACGCATTTGATTGGCTTCTTTTACTTCACGGACCAATCAGGGACTTTGTTTACAAATTGGCTTGTGAATTCCAATATGAGCTTCCGAACTTCGCAGCGAACTTCGCAACGAAGTTCGGAACATTTGTGGTCAAAGTTTCGTGAAATCGACTGTAAGCCTTTAAAGGTATTAGCCTATCTATAACGCATAATAATATCTCAAAATTGGATTAACTTTTTTACACTCGCTATTGAACCTTATTTAGCCCTAAAATGTATTTTTGTATTCAAGTATAGTTTATTATACACTCGTTCTGGTTCGCAAAACTTGTAGTTTTTGTGTCGAGATCTTGTTTTCGCCACTCGCCCTGTGGGAGCTGGTATACGGCGAGTAGCTCAACCAATCAGATTACAGAATAGTGCACACACGGTAGATGACGTACAATATTTGTAATTGTTGTATATTGAAAAGTGCTCAGCACAAAGTGTTTTGTATAGTAATATTTATTTAATCTTAAAATAGTGTTTGTTGCTTCTCAAATTTGATGCAGCTTTGCAATCTTGACGTTGTATCAACGTTCAAGGTTCAACGATCTGTTCTATATTCAACCTTGCTGTTGAAATAGTGATGAGCAAAATTTCAAAAAAGACTTGACGTCGGAAAATTTTTTCCCATTTCGAGTTGCTTTGTACAAAGCAAGTAAACATTACTAAATAATTTGGGGCACTTTGGGAATTAATATTCACAGAATATACATGACAGAAAATACATTTTATCTGAAACGTTTAAAGCGCTCAAAGTTCACAGAGTTTTTTACAGCGCTGTCAAAGCATATTCAACATACACAGACGGTCGGCCAACAGCAATAAAAGTGCCAAAAATTTGATGGAATTCTTTTGTTTTACAAGTTGTCAACCAGCATTTTCTTATTAGTTTAAATTTAATATTTTGCCAAATTTAAGCCCCTTGTTAAAACCGGCTTGCACTAATCGCTTTAATGTCTTTAGTTTGCGAAACTTTCTTTAAATGGTGTAATTTATTTTTGCCGAAAGTAAACTTGAAATTTTGAATTTTTCATCAACCTATAACAAAATTTTAAAATACATACATATATAGTCTTATTCACCAATGTTTACACTATAAGAAAATGCCAGTTTGCAGCCGGTAACGAAAAGTACCATCAGAATGTAACTTTCTGAAAGTTGGCCAGTCGTGAGGCACTCATGGTCCGTTCTTGTGATTTTCAAAAGCAATGCCTCCCCGCCGGTATAAAGCTGAAGGCCACACTCCATTCGGTTTGGGTTTACAGTTGGGATTACACGCAGGCATGGGGGACGGTGGGGGACATGCTAGGGCCAGGCAGGGTTGAGGGGGTGGCATCTGATTACAGCATGGTTGGGCGAAGCCGTTGGGAGGTGGGCTCATAATCGGAGTCGCATTTGCAGGAACTGTTTTCACTGGTGCAGAACAATTGGTACCGGCTTCTTTAGATCGATCTTTGATAAGATACGTCTCACAAATTCCTCCCTGGCATGGCTTGCGATCCAGAAGGTCGATATCTTCGGAGATTGGTTGTGGATACGTGACGTTCGTTGGCGCGCCTGTTATTGGATCGGTAGCTCCAGTTTTTGGGCGAAGTGCGTCTGCCTGAAGATCTGTTTTTTCCATTTTGTCTTTCCACGTCGTGGGAGGTACGTACACACCTGCAGATCAAACATGTTTATTTAGCCAAGTGTACATTCTAAAACAAATTGTTATCACCTTGTTACAAGGTTGATGACAGTAACAGACTTGCTACAAGTTGTTCCAGCAAGACTAATACAGGCTGTCCGTAAGATGGATTAGTCGTTTCAGATTTTCATTCAATTCAGACGTAAATTTAGTTTCAAGAGTAATACTATATTTTATGAATTTTTAGAATTGTCAAGCGAATATTCGTGGTTTTTTGAGACGTTTGCAGACCTTTGGACTTTTCGGTCAAAGAGACTTTTGGAAGTGATTATAAGTTAGATAACTCATTATATCTATGTTTTTAGGTTTATTCAGAAATCTGGTCCTTCACCGTCACGGTGTGTATTGTATTTTCGCCCAACTTTAAACCAATAGCAATGTTTCTGGAAAGTTAGCAATCCGTTACTTGAACGATTGGGTAACTTGAATATTGCTATTGGTGGATTTATCAAAATTAGAATACGCACGTGACGATTAAAGACCATATGTTTGCACGAACGTTGACATAATGAGTAATTATAACTTCTACTGTAATTTTAACGAGTTTCCAAACCATCTCTTTTAACGATGAATTAACGAGTATTTTTTTGTTTAGTTCAGATGTTATTTTCTGGTTTGATATTATCTGGTTTGATACCGTCTTTTGTTTGAAAAGGAATTACAACGTACCTGTCTTATTGAAGACTTTCAAAAAGTTATCATCGAGTTCCATTCCGTTGAGCTGACCGTGGAAAATGCTGCTTCTCAGTCTTTGTATTGGATCTTTGACGTATGGATAGAATTTCACATCGAGATCAGCAAGAATGGCGCTACTGTTTGGGCAAAATACATAAAAGGTATTTAGTTATTCTATTATTTTTTTCTTCTAATATAGCTTGCGTCAGGCTAGCCAGACTATAGATTGATGTTTAACGCCCGTATTCTAAAAGCTCACACTCAATCTGAGCGTCTCTTGAATGTCAATGCTGTTTTTGAAAAGCTCGAGGGTGAGCAGTCACATAGTAAAGTACGACACTAACCCTCCAGCTATTCAAAAACAACCATTGGGCAAAATAGCAAACTTGATGTATTTCAGCAAATTGTGCATCTTTTTTACGTAACGCCCCCGTCTCCCGTCGCCACTTTAAATGGGCGGGAACCATAGATATCTTATATTCACTAGATAGTGCATGTAATTATTCTACAATTCAAAAATTGAAGCCGTGATTGCAAACTCAGGATATTCCCATGAAATGAGAGGACTCGTAAACCTATTCCAAATACATTTTCAAACTATTCAAATGATGAAAGTTATTGTTGTTTTTTAAGCGTTTATTAGCGAGTGGGAAACTCCAACATGACCGCCATCTATTCAAATGGGGGTATCCGCTGGAATTTTCTTGGCTTCAATTTTACTTAAAGAGATGCGCTATCTAGTGTATATAAGATATCTATGGCGGGAACACTGGGACCCTATTCCAGTTTAAGCCGGGGGCCCTTTAGAACAAGGTTGCGACACGATCTATTCGTCAATAATTCAGCAATTCTTACCTTCCGGGTTTTCTGTCATCTAACCTGTAAGAAAGTAAGGTTACTTCTATTTTAGTATACTGTATACCACAAGTACCAAAATACCAATACACCGGACACCTCTGGCCCTACCATCCTATACACTCACTTAAATGTGTTCAGTTTGAAGTCCACCAGACTTGTGACTGTTGGACTCTCCTGAAACGTTGCCTTGAACTAAACAAGAGAGAAGAGCGTTTGAAACATCACTTCTGAACAATTTAAAACGAGATTGCTTCTCACCTTTGCCGTATAGTTCAGTAATTTTAGCTCATTTTAAGGCCAAGGTTGGAAAAAAAATAGTAAAAAGCTAACAATTGTTAGATGCAATAATTTAATTATCCTGAACAGTATACTAAAAGTCCGGCCCCATGTATCCTCTTGGAGCTTTTTCCATTCTGACAAGGTTTTTTTCGATTTCCCTATTATACTCCCATATTGTTAAAAAACGTGAAATTTCAAGTTCACTCATAACAAAAATGACTCGCATCACTATAAAGCTCATAAAACTACATATAAGATATTTAAACAGTCACCTAAATTTTTCAAGCGGTTTTCGAGTTATTGCTGTTCCAAATGTGACAAATAGGCCAAAATCTGGCAAAAATCCTGGGTACTAGTCTGACAACACGTTTCCAACAGCTCATAACTCAAGAAGAACTTGCAAAATCAAGGTAGCCGTTTAAATGTCTTATATGTAGTTTTTTGTAAGTTTTCTAATGATGTAACTTATTTTTCCTATAAGTGAATCTGAAATTTCACTTTTTTAATAATATAGGAGTTCACTAGGGAAATCGAACAAAAAACTTGTCATAATGGAGAAAGCTCCAAGAGGATACACGAGGACTTTTAGTATGTTATCAAGGTTGCTGAAGAGAGTGCATCAGCTAATTTTTGGCTTTTTACTAATTTATTCTGACCTATTTTCTATTTTTGATTGTAGTAACAATTTAAGGTGGCTCCCTACAGTTATTCTTGTTTAAGCAATAATTCCGTAAAACAGGCTTATTTGTGCAGAACGCGAATTCTTTTCGCCTTGGTGGCAATATTGGTCACCTAAGGAATATTTCGAACTAGATTTCGACGATGTCAATGTTCCCATGGCAACATGACGACAGCATAAAGCCTTCCAATTTAACCCATAAATGTGCCGCTATCTCAAAAACGATGTCGGTGACCTATCTTTTTTATTTCATATATCAATAAGGAATGATGCTCTGCAACTGTGGTGAAAGTTTAAAAAAATTCTGTAGTGTGTGATTTTTTTAAAAGCGAAATATTTATTGCGAAATTTCCACACTACAGATTTTTTTAAAATTTGAAATTTATAAAATTTACCGCAAAATAAATTCGTGGTCAAAATTTGAAGATAGGTCACCGATGAAACTAATGAGAAAAATGCAAATAAAGTTAGAAAATAGCCTCGTGTAACTCGAGAAATTCCCTTATTGAAAAGCGTCGCTGACTAGTAAAATATTGTACGCGGGCGCAGAACGAATTTTCATTCAGCAAAATCGAGCCGCAATGTTGTTTTTACTGTTTTGTTTTTGTCAACTTTTCGATTTATTTGAGTGCTATGGACAGCCAAGGATTATTGTGAAGGATTAAATCGATGAAAACAAGGTTGAAGCTAATTGAATCATGCCGTTTACTTAATCTATGAGCTGTAACAGCCTATTAACAGGTGGACGTGTTTTTTGTTTCATGTTTGGTTTTGTACTTTTTGCTAAAAGTGAAAAATTAGGCTATGAAACTGAAATATTTTTCTGCATATAATCACTTTAATCTTGTAGAAACACGACTAAAAACGTGAACGTTTACTTGAGAAGTAAACAACTTTTTAAACGTACGTTTGTATGCAATTTTGCAAATGTTTTACAGTTGAGTCACTTGACAGTGTATAAAAAAATTAAAAAATATTGTTTCGTAGCTATTTTTTGGTCTAGTGATATTCGTATCATATGTAGAATTGCTCGCAAGTGATTTGGCACTCAAAACGAAGTATTATTCAACGCTTTTTTCCATTAGAAACCTTTCAGAAATAGCTTTATTTTTAAAAAAAGCATGGTCAATTTTTGTTTTGTTTTGATCATGCAGTTGCGTGGGATAGTTCCCGTACTTGTCCCGCGAACATCCCGCACGGAACTGTAGGGAGCCTCCTTAAGCACGGTTTCTAAACGCAGCGAAATGAAAAGCGAACGCGTGGTTTAAATTTCTTTGCTCCATTTGAAATATTTTGGCTTCATATTCATGAGTGCTAATTTAATTTATAAACAAACTGTTTCCTTCCGGTACTGAGTCAGGAAATGTTAGCAAAAAAAATTTAACCAGAGGTAATGGGAAAGAGCTATAGATAATATTATTAAATCTGAGTGTAATCTTACCGCATTTTTCATTTTGCTTTCTAGCCTTTGGAAGGCTGGTGAATTTGCTTGTTTGTACTGTGGCACCCAGGAAGTTCGTGGAATTCGGATAATCATATTGTAAGCTGAACGGAAAGTGAAATATTGATGATATTGGCAAGAAATGTGAGTAAATGAAATAATAAAGTTTACTGTCTATTGTACAAAATATGGCCAGAAATCTCGTACTTACTTTGAAACACTGGTCTGTCAAAACGAACTCGCGAACGATCTAAAATGAGAAAGATACAAGCTTTTACAATTAAGCGCATGAAAGGCATGATGGTTTTTAAGGTGCATTTCAGCCCTTTTAATTGAAAAACTAACTAGGAAAATCAATTAATTAAAGAATAATTCAAGATCAGTAAACGTAAATGTTTTTAACATTTTAAGACATTTTTTTCATTTTTAAAAACATTGAGTTTACTGATCTTGAATCCATCATAGATATCTTATATACACTAGATAGTGCATCTAATTATTCTGCAATTCAAAAATTGAAGCCGTGATTGCAGACTCAGGATATTCCCATGAAATGAGAAGACTCGTATGTTTTCTATTTTATAAACAGGAAACTTAAACATTAAGTTAAACCTATTCCAAATACATTTTCAAACTATTCAAATGATGAAAGTTATTGTTGTTTTTAAGCGTTTATTAGCGAGTGGGAAACTCCAACATGACCGCCATCTATTCAAATGGGGGTAAGCGCTGGAATATTCTTGGCTTCAATTTACACTAAAAGAGATGCGCTATCTAGTGTATATAAAATATCTATGATATCCATACGCATATAGTATGGAAATTGGCATTTGCAATTAGTATGGCAATTGGATTCCTCTACTATTTTCAACGAACATCCATATACTGTTTCCAAAGTAAGGATTTTGAAAAGAATTTCCAGTGTAAATGAATATAATTTGCCTAAAATAATCCTTGGTCGGTAATGCAGAAATCTTACCGGAATGAGCGGGGTGCACCTCGGAATCCAGCATCATCTCATTTCGTTTCTTGTAATAACGCGCCACCACATACTGCTTATTGCTCCGACTGAGGGAGAACGCGACGCCCACTTCGCGTGTCTGACCATCGTACACCAACTGAGTAAATTCATTCACTGGATCCGCATCATAATTGCGCTTGTGGGACGCAGAAAAATCATACAGCTTCACTTCATTGTACCTGGAATATTCCAACATCGATAGTGAATTTTCGATTCAGCATTGTTGACAAACTAGCATGCTATAGTTAGTTAAGCCCTGGGCAAACTAGGAACCATTGTTGCGGAAACATTGTTGCGGAAACATTGTTTCCTACCAATGTTTCGCCATGTTTCCCAGAGTTGGAAAACACTTGGAAACATTGGTGAGAAACATAGGGAAACATCAAATGTTTCTGAATTTTCTAGGAAACATTTTTGCTTCCCGGGAAGCAAATTTTGTTTCCGCAACAATGTTTCCACGGGTGGGCAAACGTGGAAACATTTTTGAGGAAACATCGAGAATCACAAATGTTTCCGCAACAATGCTTGCTAGTTTGTCCAGGGCTTTAGAAGAAGAAAATCTCTATGTAAAGCTGTAAACAATGAACATAGTTAAAGCCTTGGATAGTTTAGGGTTTTTCGAAGTAATATTTCAAACCTGCCGACTACGGAGAACTGGACAACATTTGAAATCTAGTCTAGTTCGAAGTGGAGGCTAGGATTCGCAATGAAATCTCATACGAATAAATCTCTACTTTTAAAGTGAATTAATTTTGATCTAATTCAAAGATTGAATCCATATACTTGACCAGGTCTCCAGTATTAGCATGTGAGCAAAATGAAGCAATGTGATTGGCTAATTTATACTCATGAATTATTAACGAGCTTGGGGTATATGCTTACCATTCGTCTACGGCTGCCTTACACAACTCGTCCTCAGGCAGCTGTGGTCGCGTCCAGAAGATATTCTCTCCGTATTTTCTATTGTTCGTATCTGGTATGTCGTCATCAAGTTCAGCTAGATGGTCAGCCCATGTTTGGGCGCTTTCTGCTAGTTTGTCGCTCCAGACTAATGGATGAGCGTTGTGGATCGTACGTTTCTTGTTGTGCTCGGTAACACAGCTTGTTTTAAAATTTTCTGAAGCTGTAAGAGTTTAAATTCAGTTTACATTAATAACAAAATAGAACCATTGGATCAGCAAGACAATCAACGTATTCAATCACTATTCGTGTTTCACTTCGAGCCATAATAAAACTGTTCATTAAATAAAGTTTTGTACTGGCATACTTTGTCTTCTGTGTAAGCAAAATAAGGAAAGGTAGACTTCAGGGAATATATTTTCTAATTTAAAGCGAATCACTTTACAGCTGTGAGGTGTTGTAACTAACTACGGGATAAAATGAGAATCATTTTCTGTCTACATACGTACCAGGGGATTTTACATAAACGCCCTCCGTTTCGTTGCCAATGAATTTGATGACCAGAGGTTTTCTTGGCTTTAAAGGAATACTGATATTAAACGTATCGTGAGCAAGGGTTGCCGTGGCTAGGAAAAATAAAACATTTATTTGATTTTCTATGTGTAGATATGAAATCATTATTAATTCATAAAGAACGTTTAAAGTGAATTTATGAAATGAAATTTCTTATTTTCTTAAATGAAAGAACCCTTTAAGCTGTAGTGTATCAGTTTCTTGTTTTTTATGGGTTTTTCCCGAGATATTTCAATTTTTTTGATATGTAAATGATATGAATATGTCCGTTAATTTATGACGTCACATTGGTTGCAAGCTCTTCAAAATGGTTGAATATCACTGCTATCATCCAAGATGATCATTTCAAACTTCACTCACTTGTAAATGTGATGAAGTACTGGAGAAACGTGAACTGATATCTACAGTTTTTAGAGTTAATACATTTATAACCAGTGTAAGTTGAGCTGGCAACCAAAGTGACGTCATAAATTAGCGGACATATTCACACTCATTTACATAATAAAACAAATTGAAATATCTCTGGAACAAACCATAAAAACAAGAAACTGAAAAATAAGTTACACTACAGCTTAAAGAGTTCTTTCATTCAAGAAAATAAGAAATGTCATGTCATATGCACTTAATCTTGATCCATTGATTATTCTATGCGAGTTTTGCTCAATGTGTGTATTTATGTGGTATGGGATGAGCTTCCGGTGGTGAGCCAATCCCGGACGAACCCCCCTGCAAGAATGTTTGTATATTATCTTTCTGAGTGGCGTTTAATTTCATAGATCTAACCTTCCTTCATGCCTTTCCTCTCCTCCTTACTCAGGATCTTCTTATTCTCAGTGGGTGTTCCAACATACACCTTCTCTATTTCGCCGTTGGGTTTCACAATGGTGTGTAAAGGCTGTTTGATGCCTTTGTGATCACTGGTTGCCACATCTTCAGGCGTTCCAGCATACACTTTCTCCACCTCACCCCCCTGGTGAACCATGGTCTGTTGAAGTTCCCCCTTTTCTGCAACTGGCTTCACTTGGTGGTCTTCATCCAGCTTTGCGTCCACCGTCGGAGCGTTGTCTGCCGAACCTTGGCCTGCTGTTTCCGCGCCGGCCATACCTTGGTTTGCGGTTTCCGTGTTAGAGACGCCCGCGTTACCCATGTCTGCGCCATTCGGGGCGTTGTTGTCGCCGTTTATTATCGGAGGGTTTGAAGCCAGGTTACTGTTTGCAATGTTATGATTGTTCGTGTTCTCGTTGTTAGGGGCAACAGACACAACGCCTTGTTCTGTGCCTATTTGTGTGTCTTGAGGCGCGTCCGACATGCCTTGCGCGAGTGGTACATTTCGCCTCACAGGACCAGCTACAAATGAAAAAAAAACGCAATTGTTTCATATTATTTTGACTTCTTAAAAATATGTTTTGCGATCTATCTACAAAACCTCGATCATCGCGATTCTATATAATATCATCATCACAAGTCTCAACAGCATCGAACGATATTTAAAAGGTGAAGCTGTCACCGTCTACGTACACGGCAAGTTTTGTGTGACCTTCTTCCTTGACAAATACATTTTCACATGTGGAGATACAACCAATAAATCTTTGTGTGCACCCTAAAAGTTGCTTTGAACAGCGATAACACTCACACAGCACTACAGCAGGTCGGGAGTGCCTCTTATATGCCACATTTTCTGCGATGGTTCATACACACGAACCACAAATATTCGTAGTTGACAATTCGCAATGCATAGAGGCTCATATCAGGAAGCATTTCTAGGATAAATGATAATTCTTGTACTGTGAAAAACTCACCTTTGGTCAAGTAAACGAATGAAAGTATTATACACAACTGGCAGAATCTCATTGTCAAGTATTACCGAACCTAAACAAAAGGGAACATCTGTTATGTGCATTATATTGAGCTGGCAAATGTGTATTTAGCCACACATTTCAACCACAGATATATGACCAACACAATTGACTGACATTTGGTCAAGAAACCGACGGTCAACAGACATTTGGTTAACCGACAGACATTTGACCCACAGACATATTTTGGGGACAGACATTTAGTCAAAAAACCTATACGGTCAACAGACATTTCGCCAGCAGTATAACTGATTGGTATGGCCGAAATTTGACCGACGGGGCACGCTCGGGCAACAAGACATTAGCGAACACTGAACACATTGCATTTACAGCAACTCAAAAGCGTTGAATTTAACTGAAAAATAAATGAACTTAACTGTTTAACATCCAAGGAAATAGATTTTATGATTGACGTGATACTGGCCTATTAATGCTGACGCTTTCTATAAGCCTGAAACTTACGCAATGAAGATAAGTTGTAGTTTTTTATAGCGGCAAAAATCTGGAATGACTGTTAGCCGAATTGACAGAGTGAATGAATGAAATTTTTCCGACATTTAATTATTATAATTTTAGTGTTTTTTTTTAATTGCATTAATGACAGTAGTATATAATTGTTTAGCTATCTTGTCTATATGCACGGCGCACGATGAAAGCATTTTATTATCTTTGTATATGCTATATTTAATGCTTCTATATTCAAGACTGATAGGTTACCGTGTTAAAATATCATAAAATACAAGTACATAAAACTACGTACCGCGATGAAATCGTGCACTCAGTTCCATATACAGGCACAATTTGAACAGCGTTAACTATAGGCCTATATATTATATATATATAAGTATATACAGTATCTGCTATCTTTAATGATATACGTTTTCCCTTTTTATCAGTATCTGAAAGAGTTTAGATCGTATTTTTTGATCATATATTTTTTGATCAATTGTTTTTAAATGCTTGACCTGTGTCGGTAATTGAACTGTTCCTGAACTCGACAAAATATTCATGAAAAGAATTCCAACTAATGCTGAACATTTTAGCCATCGGAATACTATATAAGACAGGATTTTATCTTGAAATAATTGATCCTCCATACTTTATCATTTGATCAGTAACAAGTATGTACCGGTAATTTAATAAATATCTACACACAACTGATCAATTTACTTACCAAAAACCAGAATCCACAGTTCGCCTAGATAATTCCCCGTCCCATCCAATGAGAACGCCTTACTTTTTCTATTTTTTTAAAAAGATATTAGTATTTATTGAATTTTAGAGACATTTTTCTTAATTCTCGCGCGAGCAGACCGACTAAATATTTTTTCGATTACGTTAATGTAGAAATTAACAGGTGGTGTCATAAACGCTTTCCAATTTTCTATCATGGCTCTATACGCATGAGAACACTCCATAAGCAATCATAAACTCAAGAAATAGCACATTTTTTATTCCCTTCATAATGGAATGTAGCCTTAGATAGAAAGAGGAAGATTATATACAATTTTTAGACAGCGACAAAAGATACTGAGAAATGGACAACTTGCATGTTAGACTAAATTTTAATCTAAGTAGAGAGAAGGGAATCAAACACCACAGCTAAAAAGAACATAATGAAATTAGTAAAATTGCAAAATTTGCTTGCGAAATGTTGTAAAGCTTGGAAAATATAGCCTTGCAAAGTTTTCAAATTTTGCCATAATTGTATGTAAAAGCACTTTGCTACAGAGGTAGTTTATTCTCCGCATACATCACATTTTAAAAGGCTCTGAGAGACCATTTCGCGATTGACCACATGGTACAGAATTGATCATATTTTACTCTGCGATAGGCCGATTGCAAAACAAATACATGGAAACACGGCTCGCGAGCTATCGTCGAGAGTCGTATATAGAACTTTTACCTCGGTCTCAGCTCGATCGGCGACAGTCGGCAAACGTCGCCAACCTTAAGCTTCTTAAACATTCCAGTTAAATTCAGGCTAGACAATTCAGGTTGAATTTAAGCCGCTGACCAGTGAACGTAGTCGAAAATCTCTGTGTAGTTTATGACTGGGTATATATCATTATGTAAACGGCCTGAAAAAGTGTTATATAAAGGGTACAACTAAATCTTAAATAAAAACTAACCCAATGTGGATTATAAGGTCGGTAATCGCACTGCTTGACCCAAGTTTTGAACAGGTTTCGAACAAGCTGTTAACAACTTGTTACAAACTTGTTGATATTATCAGACTTGTTGCAAGGTTGTTCCAACAAGTCCGATACAGTCATGACTATATAACAATATTGTTACAACCTTGTGTCGTCATCCTTGTAGTATTCTTGTTATATCATGACTGTATCAGACTTGTTAGAACAACCTTGTAACATTCTTGTTATATCATGACTGTATCAGACTTGTTAGAACAACCTTGTAACATTCTTGTTATATCATGACTGTATCAGACTTGTTAGAACAACCTTGTAACATTCTTGTTATATCATGACTTATCAGACTTGTTAGAACAACCTTGTAACATTCTTGTTATATCATGACTTATCAGACTTGTTAGAACAACCTTGTAACATTCTTGTTATATCATGACTGTATATCAGACTTGTTAGAACAACCTTGTAACATTCTTGTTATATCATAACTGTATCAGACTTGTTAGAACAACCTTGTAACATTCTTGTCATATCATGACTGTATCAGACTTGTTAGAACAACCTTGTAACAAGTCTGATAATGCCATCAAACTTGTTACAAGTTGTTAACAACTTGTTCCGAATTTGTTACAAATGTCTTTGCGTTGCCAGCGCCTGAGAAGAAATCATGTCAACGTATATCATGTTTTTTTTTGTTTTTTTTTTGTTTTTTTTTTGGGGGCTAATCCAGTGGGCCCATAAAAAGTCTCCAAGTTTGCACTGGACTGTCGACACAGGGCGAAATTAGTTAATTTCTAAAACGCCGTTGTTTTAGGTCACAGAATAACTACCAATTCGTACACTTAATTTTAAACGCATGTTAGAATTTTTATGCAGTCTATACTGGCAACATCATATTTTTGTTTCCATCAACCAGACCACGTTTCATAGTCAGCAAACCATCTTGACTTCACTTTTTGGACTCGACTGCTCGCTCCAGTTATATGTCGAGGTCACTGAGTTTACCTGGCTTACTGATCTCAGAATATCACTGGATCCAACATGAACGGCGTCTCTAGACTCTAGGTATGTTATCTTGATGTTCACTGAAGCATGAAATGAACACCTGTAATATGACTGGTTGTTATTTTTAAATACAGCCTGTCGTCAGCTGATCAATAATACATTAGTTCATCGTTATACGGCCTCGCAAGTCACAGAGCCATAAAGATCACTTTAAAAGGTACATTTTTACCAATTTTTAATATATAATCTCTTTTTCTTTGTATATTTAAGCTAACGTTTATTGCTCCGTTATAATGTGGATTCAATTTTTTATTTATACTTGTTTTCCAAACGGTTTTACTAGTTTATAAAACGATAGAAAGCAAGGTAGCTTTGTTGTTAGAGGAATTAAATGGTTCATTTGATGTTCATGGATAAAAGCGAATGATAGTCAAATGTATCGAGATTTTTTGAAAAACTTTCATTTTAAAAGTTGCTGTTTTGTCCTCTCATAATCTCATTGACCAAGTACCCGTGACACTAATATGTCAAAATAGCATTAATATACCAAGTATAATTTCTCTAGTAAAAGTTTATGTTTAGATTTTAAGTGATTTATAAAACAGTACATAACTGTCATTTGGGCTAAAAAGAGAACGGGAATTTGCATACTTTTTGAACTGGGAAAATGGGTTACTGGGTATAACAGAGAGAAAAAATATGAAAAGCCATATACCATTATAATAAAGATACTTGTAGTTAGACATGTAAGAGCAAATTTTAGTTGAGAGTTTGTCTTGGAAGATTGTATTGTTTTTCCGACTCCTAGGTAATTTTTCTGCTAGAGAGGTCATTTTTCTGTTAGTGTTCTATGGTTTTGCATTTGAGAAATTACAAAAACTATTTGTCTTTTAGTGCTGGTATCTGAAGATGAACGCTCAAATAATAGTCGTTGTTATATTTGGTCTCGCTGCAGGTTTGCGACACTTATTTGGGGTGTTATAGCCAATTACATATGTCTTGTCCGCGCGGGCGTGATGCGCACAGTATTGAGCATTTGGTCGTTTTTTTCAAAGCGCATGTCCGTCACAAGCGAGTCTCTCACGTCGTCTCGCTATAACTTTGGCGCGAATGCTCATAGTGTCCGCTTCGCCCGCGCGAAAGTCTATATTTTGATTGCTTTCTTCTGTGGCACAATCAGATTGAAAATCTTTAAAGAATCACTGGTTCAAATCACTTTTTCAAACGTGTTCGTGAAGCTCCCCCATTATTCCAGAATCAAACTAAGTGGTATTTTTCCCTAATTTATCCTCATTTTTTTATATTACATTGCAATTTGCGGAAATGTTTCAATGAATTACTTCATGCCTTGGTAAAGCTGCAAAAAAGATAAGCGAGATAGCCCAGATTAAGTCGTTGTACTGAATGAAAGGGTGTCGACGCCATCAGTTCTATTTCGCCATCTATAAAATTGATATCAATTCACAATCTTGTAGTTTACATCCCAACGATCTTCGCAATATTTTTACTTGTGCTCGCGGTACTCATGAAGTAAATTCTGGGACGGCTAGCACTGATTCAAAGCTTCCTATAGTTAGCATTGAACTTGCAAAAACAAAACTATCATATGGAGATGTGCCGCTTTTCAATTCACTGCCACTGAGCTCAAATATTTTGACAATTATTCCCCTAATTTGTTACCTCACAGCTACATTGTTTTCAACTTAGGACCCCCTTAAATGGAATGGATTTCAAGTTTTTCTCACTGACACGCGCAAAGTAGCAGAGCATCCTTCTTCGACACAGCATGAAAAAGATTTTTTTATTTTGACCAATAAATGAGTGACTAAGCGTTTACACGAAAACGAGGCTAAGGGGCATTGCCCCTTTAGGCTCCTAAGCCACTTATTGGTCAAAATAATAAATATTTTATCTGATGCATGTGTTGAAGAAGGATGCTTTGCTTCTTTGCGCATAGCCAGTGAGAAAAAACTTGAACTCCATTCCATTTTAGCGTGATTTATTCTGTTCCTAAGCTGAAAACAATGTAGTAATTATGATAATTTTGGGCTAGTATTCCAAAGGTCGTAGGTTCGATTCCCACCGTGGCCAGGTATATTTTTCTTGATCTTAACAATCACGTAGACAAACATGAACAATTTTCTTGCGTTCCGTGCAGATATTTGGAATATAGAAACTGGCTCATCGAGTGACAATCGCAATAAGAGTCTAACGTGCGGATTTTTTTCTTTTAGCAAGTCTGGCAGCGCCGGCGGCACCAGTCCCCGCAGCTAAACCAGCAGCCCCGGCGAAAGCAGCAGCCCCCCCTCCTGCGTCAGGAAATGGAACAAGTGGCGCAGCAGCAGCAGCAGCATCTACGGCTTCAGCGGCAAAACCAGAATACCCGAAAGATCTTGGCAATGGAGTGGAAATGATTAACCGTGAAGATTGTCCTGGCGGATACTGCGAAACCTTCCTCATCCGACCCCCACCCCCAGGTATGGGTTTCCCTATGCCTATGGGGATGGGGGGCATGCCTCCAATGGGTGGTATGGGAATGCCCCCCATGGTCGGAATGGGGATGTCCCCTATGATGGGTGGGGGTAACCCATGTTGTCCTCAATTACCCCCTTCACCTTGCGGAGGAATGCAACAGCCATCCTGTCAACTTGGGCCCCCACCCCAAGGATGCAGGGGTGGGTGTCCCCCACCTCCCATGATGGGTCGCTAAGCTGTGAAAGGAGATAAAGACTGGGAACTAATAATGCTGTACTAATGTAGCATTTTGATAGCACAAAGAATGAAATTTTTGAGAATTTCAAATTTAGTATTCTAACATGAAGACGTTGTATATTATTTTAATGAATCGGACAGTATGAAAGATTAATTTATAAACTGCTGTACAAAATAGCTTATCGTGGATATATATGTATACCGTTTCTTTAAGGCAGCCCTGTACAATTTTGACCTGTCAATTCTTCTAACCGTACGATTGTAATTTAGTGTCAATGTGAAATACTGAAATAATTAAAGGCTAATGTATCTTGAAATCAATTACAATTAATCATGTAAGCCTTTTAGAAATGAATTTGATTGATAAATGGCTCGTTTGAATAAGCCAACAAGAATTATCCCAGTTGATCTTGCCATCAAGGTTGCGGCAAAAGACTAAGACAGGATGCCACTTTGCTACAAAGAACATCCTTGCGTGTAGAATTATTAATCGTTATTGATCTTCTGTCTTTTTGTCTCAACGCCACACACTTTGTGTTTGAGGGCTGTTATTATCAACAGGTTTTTGGAACAGCGATGGGGTCACCAGTTTCGGCAGTAATTGCTAATTTAGTAATGGAAGATGTCGAACAAAGAGCTTTAGCCTCTGTTCCGGTGTCCCTATCGTTTTGGAAACGTTTCGTCGATGATGTCATTTCTGCGGTTTCTACAAATGAGATCGATATTCTGCTGCAACATTTAAATTCTATTGAGTCGTCCATCCAATTCACGGTAGAACGTGAGATAAATGGACATTTAGCTTTTTTTAGATTTGAATGTACACAGAACAGTCGAAGGGAAGTTAGAGACTGATGTTTATCGCAAACCCACACACGCAGACAAATACTTGTCATACGACTCTCATCACCCAGTAAGCCATAAAAGATCCGTAGCAAAAACTTTGCTTCAAAGAGCTGAATCGTTGCCGTCAAACAACGTGATTCTCAAGCTAATGAACGTGAATATGTTCTAAATGTTTTAGGGGAAAACAATTACCCAAAGCGTTTTCTTAATGATTGCCTGAGACCACCTGTTTGTAGGAACCAAAATAACTCCGAGGGTGATACCACTGTTAAGGGTTTTGCAATAGTTCCATACATTCAAGGTGTCACAGAACCAATCAAGAGAATCTTAAGTAATTGTAATATTAAGGTTGCCTTAAAACCCTATTTGACCTTAGGCCATATTTTCGCAAAGCCAAAAGATCCTGTTGAAAAAAATCAGAAGACTCATGCTATATATTCTATACCATGCGGTGACTGTGACAAAGAGTATTTGGGTCAGTTTAAACGCCAGTTTGGTACACGGCTAAAAGAACATCAAAAGGCTGTTTCAACTTTAGAGTGACAAGGGAAAATCAGCTTTAGCCGAACATGTATGTTACACCAAACACGAGATTGCGTGGTTACCACAAACAATCGCTATAGTCAAAGACTTTGCCTAGAAGCGTGGCATATAAATATGAGTCATCATGCTTTGAATAGGGATGACGGCGCCTATTTGCCAGAGGAATATATGCATCTTCTTGGCAGGTGACGTCATCTCTTGGGTATTTAAGAAGCCACGATCGCAGTTTTAGATCACCCCTGATAAAGACACTAGACTGGAGTGTCCAATCGTGGGGTCTTGATTACAATTCGACTGGGCTTTGTAATCATTTATTTAAACCAGAGTAGCGAGCGAAACATGAAAGAATTCAAAGGTTGAATAATCAGGGATGGATCCAGCATGATCTGGTAGGGGGGAGGTGCTCTGCCAGCTCTGGTGCCGAGTTGTGTCGGTCATGTGTGCCGCCCGCCCATCAACTTGCTTCACTACTGCAAAGTCTTGCTTGACTACAGTATTTGAATTGTAATTGTGGTTCACAGATCGCTTGTCATCATGTTATCACACAAATTTCACAAATTACTGTATCTCATTTTTCCTCTAATAATTTTTTGCTTATCATGAAAAATAGCATCCCCTGCACCCCCTCTGGCCAGGGCTAGGGGGTGCAACCCCCCCCCCCACCCCGCACCCCCTCCCCCCAGTAAATCCATCCCTGGTTGAATTACAGGTCCTCAGACCCTCTGAAACGATTCTCCAAATTATAGCCTGCGAACAGGCGTTTCCTATAGCGCAATGCATTGTGGTTCTTCCAAGTTCGAGTGTTCGAGCACGAGGGCACAACCATAGAGATTATAAATAACACTAGAGGAGGCATCGAGTTTAAAAATTGGGAACGCAGCTAATGGGGGGCAAATTCAAGTCCCGGATATAAAATCGTGCTCTCATTGGCTGATTTGAAACTCGTCACCAATGGGAACACGAATACACATCCGGGACTTGAATTTGCCCCCCAATAGTCGCGTTCCCTTTTTTTTACTGAATTAAGCATAGATATAGGAGACCTATATCTATGGAATTAAGATTACAATGCCTCCTCTAGTGTTATTTATAATCTCTATGGGCACAACAGTATAAATATTTTACCGAAGCGCTGAACAGCCAAAATCTAAGAAAAGTAAGTGAATATATTCCTTATTTAACCCATTTTGTTTATCTTCATGCAACTAGTGAACTATTGTATACGTCATGTTGATTTTTGGTATATTTTTTACAGTATTTCTTCCCGCTCGTTAGCAAGAAAGGCCCAAGATTTGGACAAAGGTTAGTCAATAAAATTCTGTTTCGTTCATTTACATAGTACCCGTTTCCTTGTTTTTGCATGAGCGTCTCTTGTGTATGTCAAATATGTTGATTTACTAATACTTTCGACATTGTATTGTTTACAATTATCGTTTCTTTCGCCTCGCAAAGAGCCTCTGGATTCTGGAACCAGGCTATAAATGTAATATAAAGTTTATAAACGACAACGTCGCCTCGTGTCTAGTTGATATAATAGAGACCTCACGATTTTAGGACGGCAACGGCTACCAATACAATAGATCATTGAAAAGAATTGAGTAATTACAATATATAAATAATTTAGACATCGTCCTCGCTCAGTTTACAACGCCAAATCATATATTTTTACGTCTTGGTACAAGTTATGGCTGCATTCCAAGCCACAACAAGTGCAACTTCCAAACTGGGTTTTATAGCAGAACTCTTCCCAACCATAAAGCCCATGTCTTCAACTTCTAAAACTGTGTTAAATACCAATTATTTGAAGGAGTTTGTTTTGGCCGTTGCCGTCCTAAAATCGTAAGGTCTCTATTAACCTGGGGCGGCTATATTTCTATTAAAAACATCTCGATTTTACCGTATAAATACGCCTACTGTTTTGTATATAAATTTAGCCTAGTATATTTTCTATTGCAATGAGTCGCACATATAAAGTGATTATCTAGTTCGCAAATATATTTGAGATGTTTCTGACTTTCTTTAAAAATTTTTACTGCAGTATTTATGTAAATGAACAACATTTAATGGCCGGCTTGTGATTCTTTTCGGGTTTTTGGCAAAATTTTGTCATGAAAACCATGCTGGGAAGCCTATGTGGTGATGTCATATTTTTAATTCCGTTACGAAAGCTCATGCAACAACAGCCAATTAGCGCTTCTAATTGATGCGATTCAAATTCAAATTTATCGAAATGGGCGCCAAATAACGACAATAACCAACGGTTTTTATCAGACTAAACACGATCATGTCCATAAAAGGGCATAATCGGAACAACTCGCTTCGAGTTCGGTAAAAATAGTACCAACATGCTTTGCGTGCCGCGACACGTTTTGTCTGCTGCTGTATTTGCAAATATTCCAATGGTTGGAGCTTCTTTATGGGCGAAAATTTGCATATTTTTTTATGGATACCGCGCTTTCGACGCAGGAATATTTACATATTGAATCAAGCAAGGTATGTAGTACTTCAATTGCTATTTATTTCTCGAGAAGAGAGAGTACAATCTCATTATATCAGGACTATATTGTAACGGAATTTTGAGCTGGTGTCCTGGTTGTTTTTTTTAACCTCGTGTATATACATGAGAAAAATGTTGTCTTGTGTTTATAATTTCACAGATTTGGCTTCTCTGCAACTGATTTATTCATTGCCAAATCAAAAATTATTGAGAAAAGAAGGACTTTATAACAATTTAAGTATTTTTGCGCGTGAAATGGCAGACATGAGCAAATCTGCATTCTATAAAAAAGAAGCTGTTTTTAATTTGAAATAAGTCTTTTATAAGAACTTATGTTCCAACTAAAGTTCTATGCAGTATCAGTTGCAGCATGTTTAAAGGAAAATCGTCTGGCATTGAGTCGCACATGCAAAGTGATTATCTAGTTCGCAAATATATTTGAGAAGTTTCTGACTTTCTTTAACAATTTTTACTACATTATTTATGTAAATATGAACAACATATACTGTAATGGACCGCCTATGATTCTTTTCGGGTTTTTGACAAAATTTTGTCAAACTATGCTAGGGAGTGATGTCATATTTTTTAATTCCGTTACGAAAGGTCAACAGCCAATTAGCGCTTCTAATTGATGCGATTCAAATTCAAAATTTATCGAAATGGGCGCCAAATAACGACAATGACCAACGGTTTTTATCATACTAAACACGATGATGTCCAAGAAAGGGCATAATCGGAACAGCTCGCTTCGAGTTCGGTAACAAAATATTACCAACATGCTTTGCGTGCCCGCGACCACGTTTTGTGTGCTGCCGACAGAAGTTCTATGTTGTATCAATGGTTAGATTGTGTTTCGAGTTGCAGCATGTTGAACCCATTATTGAAAACTGTAAGTAAAATCATCTGGTGTTAGGGGCAACGTTCATACTCAAAGGGGATAGGGAAGGAAAATATAGTGTTTGAGTTGCTAAACGAACATTAAAGGGGCGCTACATTTTGTAGTCAAAAAGCCACCTTAAGTATTGTTTACATTTTTTGTTATTAGGGTTGCACCGGATATAGTATCCGGGCAGATAATCTGGTCGGATAGTGACCTTATACTATAGATCGATCGTTTTTTAAGCAATTTAAAACATTCGCAGTGCGTGTTTTATCAGACCATCTTTATATCTGATAAAACACTTGCTGCTCATGTTCTAAATAGTACATAAAATCTCTGCAAATCTCGCCTCAACGTCTTGTTGAATTAGTTCGACAAAGGATCAGATTGGTGAGAGGGTTGGCCGCGCGCGCTGCATGTTTCAGTTGTAAATGGTTGAAATTTTAATTACAGTGGCATGCATGAGAGTTTCGGCTAGGTTCGCGCATGGCTTGAATTTGCCTCAACGTCTTGTTGAATTAGTTCGACAAAGGATCAAAATAGTAGAGTGATGAGTGCATAAAGTATTTTGGAGCTCAATTTGTTTTAAAATTTGTCATTTTATGTTTGGACAACAACCCCCCCCCCCCGTTCTTTCTGGTCGTCCTGTGTGTCGCTGGCAAACCTACACTCCCCACTGCGATAGGCAGTCAAGTATTTTTAACCTGCACATTTTTGTTTTTATTTCCCGTATTTTTATTTTTTTATGTTCAGAAATATCATGACCCATGACTTTAAGCCTGGAAGGAGTTGAGAGTCCCCACTCAACTGCATGCCTTCCGAACATATTAGACTCCATTTTACATGCGACCATTTTACCGGTACACGAAATTTCAAATTTTGGCGAGCGTACATTTTCGATTGACTATATACCAATTACTGTGGGCCCCTTTAAAAATTGCTAAATTTTAAGAAAACAACACAAAATAACGTATCACAATACAAAACTACTACAGAATACAATGCAGTGCAACGCAATGCAATTTAATGCAATGCAATGCAACGCAACGCAATCCGACGTGAGGTAGGTAATTGTAACGCAATGCAGTGCAACAGCAATGCAATTGAATGCAGTGCAATGCAACGCAACGCGGTGCAATATGCAACAAGAACAAGATTCAATCACCAACACCAGTGCCTATGTTAGTTTTAGTTACGATGAAAGTGCCATTCAGGGGGATAAGTGTATGAACGTTTTTATTAAACTGCATGCTAAAAATTTCTGTTGACTGTTAGAATGGTCGCTTGTAAGTGGGGGTAACTTGCTAGGATTTGCACATTTAAATATCTACAGGTGCATTAGGTCTCTTAGGTTTTAGTTTAAGACCAATATGAGCGAGTGAGATAATAAACTCGACCAGCTAAGTTAAGGCTTCAAGCGTGAAATGCACGCATTAGACCCCTCAGGAACGGAACCCAAACCTTTTTTCAACACCAAATGTGAAATTACCCCCACCTTACCACATCGTTGAAGTACAATGGTGGATATCCTGGGCAAATGTGCATTATTGTGGTGGATATCTTGGTCAATATGTACAATACTATAATACTGATCAACCCTTAAAATGGTTGAAATTTTAATACAGTAGCATGCATGAGAGTTTCGGCTGCGGACGCAATTTCATTTTGCTTTATAAACTTACAAAATGCATGGTTGAAATTTTAATACAGTTGCATGAGAGTTTAGGGTTCGCGCGTGGTTTGAATTCGCCTCAACGTCTTCTTGAATGAGTTCAACAAAGGATCAGATTGGTGAGAGGGTTGGCCGCGCGCGCTGCATGTTTCAGTTGTAAATGGTTGAAATTTTAATACAGTAGCATGCGTGAGAGTTTCGGCTAGGTGCGCGCGTGGTTTGAATTCGCCTCAACGTCTTGTTGAATTAGTTCGACAAAGGATCAGATTGGTGAGAGGGTTGGCCGCGCGCGCTGCATGTTTCAGTTGTAAATGGTTGAAATTTTAATACAGTATACCATGCACAATAGTTTCGGCTAGGTGCGCGCATGGTTTGAATTCGCCTCAACGTCTTGTTGAATTAGTTCGACAAAGGATCAGATTGGTGAGAGGATTGGCTGTGCGCGCTGCATGTTTCAGTTGTAAATGGTTGAAATTTTAATACAGTATAGCATGCAGGAGAGTTTCGGCTAGGTGTGCGCATGGTTTGAATTCGCCTCAACGTCTTGTTGAATTAGTTCGACAAAGGATCAGATTGGTGAGAGGATTGGCTGTGCGCGCTGCATGTTTCAGTTGTAAATGGTTGAAATTTTAATACAGTATAGCATGCAGGAGAGTTTCGGCTAGGTGCGCGCATGGTTTGAATTCGCCTCAACGTCTTGTTGAATTAGTTCGACAAAGGATCAGATTGGTGAGAGGGTTGGCCGCGCGCGCTGCATGTTTCAGTTGTAAATGGTTGAAATTTTAATACAGTAGCATGCATGAGAGTTTCGGCTAGGTGCGCGCGTGGTTTGAATTCGCCTCAACGTCTTGTTGAATTAGTTCGACAAAGGATCAGATTGGTGAGAGGATTGGCCGTGCGCGTTGCATGTTTTTAATACAGTAGCATGCATGAGAGTTTCTGCTGCGGACGCAATTTCAGTTTACCTTATGAGCTTTATAATGGTTGAAATTTTAATACAGTTGCATGAGAGGTTTCGATTTCATGCTTTTTTCCTGACTATGTTTTTATTTTTGTTTTTTTTTTATACTGATGTGTGGCCGAAATTAACATGCTGAAATATCTGACGGTAAGTGTTAATCTTTATTTCTCACATTATTGCCAGTTTGCAATTACAGAGATAGGTCGACTTTGAAATGGTTCTAATTTTAGCGCAGTTGCATGTATGAGAGTTTTGGCTGAGGACGTAATTTCATTTTGCCTTATGAACTTTATAATGGTTGAAATTTTAATACAGTATTGCATGCACGATAGTTTCGGCTAGGTGCGCGCGTGGTTTGAATTCGCCTCAACGTCTTGTTGAATTAGTTCGACAAAGGATCAGATTGGTGAGAGGGTTGGCCGCGCGCGTTGCATGTTTCAGTTGTAAATGGTTGAAATTTTAATACAGTATAGCATGCACGATAGTTTCGGCTAGGTGCGCGCGTGGTTTGAATTCGCCTCAACGTCTTGTTGAATTAGTTCGACAAAGGATCAGATTGGTGAGAGGGTTGGCCGCGCGCGTTGCATGTTTCAGTTGTAAATGGTTGAAATTTTAATACAGTATAGCATGCACGATAGTTTCGGCTAGGTGCGCGCGTGGTTTGAATTCGCCTCAACGTCTTGTTGAATTAGTTCGACAAAGGATCAGATTGGTGAGAGGATTGGCTGTGCGCGTTGCATGTTTTTAATACAGTAGTATGCATGAGAGTTTCTGCTGCGGACGCAATTTCATTTTACCTTATGAGCTTTATAATGGTTGAAATTTTAATACAGTTGCATGAGAGGTTTGGATTTCATGCTTTTTTCCTGACTATGTTTTTATTTTTGTTTTTTTATACTGATGTGTGGCCAAAATTAACACGCAGAAATATCTGAGGGTAAGTGTTAATCTTTATTTCTCACATTATTGCCAGTTTGCAATTACAGAGATAGGTCGACTTTGAAATGGTTCTAATTTTAGCACAGTTGCATGTATGAGAGTTTTGGCTGAGGACGTAATTTCATTTTGCCTTATGAACTTTATAATGGTTGAAATTTTAATACAGTATAGCATGCACAATAGTTTCGGCTAGGTGCGCGCGTGGTTTGAATTCGCCTCAACGTCTTGTTGAATTAGTTCGACAAAGGATCAGATTGGTGACAGGGTTGGCCGCGCGCTTCATGTTTCAGTTGTAAATGGTTGAAATTTTAATACAGTGTGGCATGCACGATAGTTTCGGCTAGGTGCGCGCGTGGTTTGAATTCGCCTCAACGTCTTGTTGAATTAGTTCGACAAAGGATCAGATTGGTGAGAGGGTTGGCTGCGCGCGCTGCATGTTTCAGTTGTAAATGTTTGAAATTTTAATACAGTATAGCATGCACGATAGTTTCGGCTAGGTGCGCGCGTGGTTTGAATTCGCCTCAACGTCTTGTTGAATTAGTTCGACAAAGGATCAGATTGGTGAGAGGGTTGGCCGCGCGCGTTGCATGTTTCAGTTGTAAATGGTTGAAATTTTAGTACAGTAGCAGGCATGCGAATTTTATGTGCAAAAGTTTTACAAAACTGTATACAGTGTTACTAAGCTGCATGGATGCTAAAAGTTTGTGTTGACTGTTAGAATGGTGGCTTGTATGGGGGTATACTTGCTAGGATTTGCACATTTATATATTTACAAGTGCATTAGGTCTCAGGTTTTAGTTTAAGACCAACATGAGCGAGTGAGATAAACTCGACTAGCTAAGGTAAGGCATCAAGCGTGAAATCCACGCATTAGACCCCTCAGGATCGGACCCCAAACCTTTTTTCAACAGCAAATATGAAATTACCCCTCCTTAATTACCACACCATTGGAGAATGATGTTGGATATCCTTGGCTATAATGTGTAATACCATGAGGGATGTTGTGGGCAAATGTGCGATGTCAGAAGTTAATGTGGAATATAGGAAGCACAAAATCGGAAGTTAATGACAGGAATGACGGTATGTTCTATGAATTTATCATGAAATGTTGATGTTTTAGCCAGCTAAAGTGTTAAAACTGCTTGTCAAAGTATATGGCGGCAAGTTGCTCCGCATTTTGTTCTGCCATAAGGATACTGAATGTTGCTTTAACCCATTACGCGCCAGCATTCTCCCCTTGACGAGTAAAATTGTCTGGCATTAGACGGAGTAAAATGATAAAGCAGGGCGAAGTGCAACTTGATGGGTTAAGTTAGTACAGATGTAATTGCATAAAATATTTACGGTATTTTGGAGCTAAACTTGTTTTAAAATTTGTCATTTTATATGAACACAAGCCGTCGTTTCTGGTCGTCCTGGTTGCTGTCAAGAGAAATCTGAAATTGTAACGAATGGATAACAATGTGTGTCGCTGGGAAACCTACACTTCCCACTGCAGTAGGCAGTGAAGTATTTTTAAAGAGTCATTGTCAACCACAATGCATTTGTTTACATCTTTACCTTCGGAAGTGAGAAATAGCAACAAATCAAGATTATAAACCTTTGTTTGGTGCAATTTTAGTATAAAAAAGTTAAAATTAGCAAGTATAAAGCCCGTTCTCGACTAGGCGAATTTGTTCGCGCGACGCGAAGCGAAAACCGAAATCCGGCAACGTGATTGGTCGGCGAAAAAATTCGCAGGGAAAAAGTAGGATCGCTTCCTACTTTTTATCTGTTCGCGCGAAAAAATTCGCCTAGTGGAAAACGGCCTTAAGTAACACAGGATTTTAGTAATATATTATTGATTGAAAACCGAAAGATCTATTATTCCGCCATTAAAATGGCCGCCAAGCAGGTTTGAGCGCGCAATGCTTTGTGGTTGACAATGACTCTTTAACCCATAACTTTAAAGGCCATGTTACACGGTGCAATTTTTCTTGCAACTTGCAATGCAATTCTACTCTTGAGAGATGTTAATTAGTGAAATCAGTGAAGAATGTTCGATATGTTACAGTTGATTTCACGAAATTGGTTGGTTTCCAATCAATCACTTGATGATCTCGTGTTTATAGTTCCCAAATTCCCAACCAACCTCGCAAATAGATAGCTTAAGATCTACGACGTCAGCTAGGACGTCAGGGCTATGCAGAGGACTGGGACTAGGATGTCGTCCTAATGTAATCCCAGTCCTCTGCTTAGCCCTGACGTCCTAGCTGACGTCGACGTCGTAGATCTTAAGCTATCTATTGGCGTGGCCAAAGTTTCGTGAAATCAACTGTAAGAAAACATCAGCGGAGTGTAATGCAGACTCGTATTTGGCAATTTTACATCTTTCAAGAGTAGAATTGCATTGCAAGTTGCAAGAATAATTGCACCGTGTAACATGACTTTATGGCTGGAAGGAGTTGGGAGATCCCCACTCAACTGCATGCTTTCTGAACATATCAGACTGTAAAAATTGCTAAATTTTAAGAACACAAGACCAAACAACATAAGACAATACAAAACTACACGGTACAATACAATATGCAGTTCAATGCAGTGCAACGCAATGCAAAGCAACAGAATACAACGTAAGGGAACGCAATGCAATGCAACGCAATGGAAATCAATGCATGAGAAGAACAACATTCAATTTCTATAGCAACACTGCCCATGTCTATCAGCTCATATTCGACTCGAGTTCGTGGAATAACTGTTAAATGATTTCAGTATATGGTCCGTGTCTCTGAAACAGACATAAAAGTCCACTGACTTAAAAGTCCTATGTAGGTTTGCTTGGCGTTCATGTATGTTTGGGTTTTATCATATATGTTTTGTCGAGTCACTAACAGATTAGGATTTAATACGCACGCACTCAAATAAATTAAAGCTGTTCATTTCTCGGAAAGCTTAAGAAAATTGTTTTGTCTTCCTGTTAAAAAAACCCTTAATTCTTAGGAAAGTGATAAAGCTTTTGCATGACTGTATTATGGTCATATGTCTCTTCCTGGAATAACATGATATATTTACTAGGATGATATATTTAGGATTGCGCCACAAGAATCACGGGATTCAGTGTGCGCTATTTTGCATTAAACAGTGGGAGTTCCGTTGCTTAAAATGCTTTATCAACAATTTGTATTTTTAATATTTTTAATTTTTTTATAATAATAATAATTACAATATTTAGTCAGGGGGTCCACTCACGAAAGTGATTTTCAGTGGAGCCCTGATTATAAAGTACAGTACTGGGGCTGGTTGTTCAAAGGTGGGTTAGCGCTAACCCTGGGTTAAAATTTAACCTGCTGTTTTAGTTTGTGTATTTCTGCACGTCTGTTTATTTTAGAACTTCAGAGAAGTAAACTCCTATGGATCCAAACAAGATCACTGAAGAAATATTTCAAAATTTATAGACAAGCTGTCAGGAAGTTTGCTTTGAATTTTAGGTTAACCGGCTAGGGTTAAACTAACCCAGCTTTGAACAACCAGCCCCTGGTTGATGTTGTTTCTACGTTTTTACGACATCAGGACCCTTCCAATAAGGTTCTTCAAAGTTTCACCAAAACTTTGTATTCTTTCTTACTTGAGGGGCGGTGAATGAGCCCTCCCTGGAGCCATCTTTACATTGACTTCCTGGATTTCTTCCACAGACTCCGTACAAGGATAGAAGTAAAGCTGCCCTTCCCAAAAAGCGTTCGTCCTTGTCTCAGTTATATAATTATCCCGCAACTCATTAATAGGAAAAACTGTTACATCGTCATCGTTGTCTTGGTTGCCATGACGAAAGAGAAACGCCTGGTCGTCAAAAACCGATTAAACTCTCGTTATTTAAGAACTTCCTCGCGATATGGTGCTCGGTTGTCAACAACCGATACAAATCTCGTTAGTTTTCATTCACCTCGCGCGTTGTGCTGGGCCATCAAACACCGATACAAACCTCGTTATTTATTATTCACCTTGCTTGATGCTCCGTCATCAAACACCGATACAAACCTCGTCGTTAAAAGTTTACCTCTTTGCATGCGCTTAAAATCCTAATTTTTTTCTTTTATGTGTAACGAAAAATCGTTATTTTCCCACGAACTGAGGTCGGCCTATTTGAAGTTTATGATTCATTAATATTTCTTATTCTTGTCAACGGAGCGGTCCTTGGATAAATCGTACAGTCACTTCCTATAATTTCTGACTATAACGAGTGACAAACCCCTTATAAGCACAAAATATAAAGCTTCCCTTCCTTAGAGCTCAGACAACAATGAAATGGAGAAGTTACCCCCCTTGTTTCGGTTACATAACTAAATAATTAATATGCGGCCATTCTGAATAAATTAGAATGCAATCGCATATAAATTGCTACATCATTCCAAATGTCAACATAGTAACATGGCTGGTTTTATGGTTAGAATTGTGTTGTATTTTTCTCTACCGTTAATAATTTCTGCTCAACTAAAGTGGACAAACCTTACCAGTGTAAACCGTGGCCCTTCACCTTCATCTCGAAGAGACATTGCGATTGGGTATGATAGCAAAAACAAAGAAATACTCGTTTATGGCGGAAGAGCTAGTGGCCAAATATTCAGCGATACATGGGCTTTTAACTTAAATTCTGGTCAATGGAGAGAACTTAACACAAGCAACGACATTGGCAAACGATTTTCAGTGGTTTCAGGCGTGTGGAATAATGGTTTTTATGTTGCAACTGGTCAAGTTGGGAGCAAATTCTTTGATGATATGTGGCGTTTAGATTTGTCAACATCAGAGTGGAGGCAGCTGCCTTCTGGAAACAGTAAGCCAGAAAAACGATATGGAGCAGCAGGCGGCTTCTTTCAACATGACAATTCTAGTTTCTTTTATTTAACACACGGTTTCGCAAGCAAGCGGTATTCGAATACGTTTGTGTATGACGTCTCTAAGGAAGAAGGATGGAAGGAGGTCTTTGAGGGAACAAGTAGTTATAACCCTAATTATCCCCATGCTCGATGTCTTCACTCTGGTACCATGTTGTCGACGCATAAGTTTGTCATGTATGGTGGATGTCTAGGGTATGTTTTATTTAATTAAGCACCATTTCTAGTAACGATGTAGCCAAGCCTTGCTTGTTCCAGGATTGACTGCCAGTGCCCCCGCCCCTTGACCAGTATTAAAATCAGGCGTCAGAGTAAAATAGTAAAGTAGGTATATTGGCGTACATTGCAGCAGGCCTGAACTCTCCCGGTGCCACTGGGAGACTCAGGGACCGGTTTTGACCTTTTTCTCCCGGTATCAAGATATTTTCTCCCGGTATCAAGATATTTTCTCCCGGTTGCTTGTTTTAATTGTATTTTCCAGATTCAAATATCTGGCAAGAAATGGTAATCGTTTGAAAATCACTTGGGTCCAAGCTGAAACTTACTTTCGCACTATAGGCGATAAGTAGATTATTGTAAGGATATGAGATGTAACATGGGATCTCGAAAACTAGTTGCATTCTTGCCATGTTAGCATTAAATTAAACAAGTTGTTAAAGCAAATGCAATTATAATGATTATAAAGCTGGGGAAAATGATTAGAATTTTTACTGTTTTGAACACTGCATATGACTTTAGTTTTGCTCTCCCGGTTTTTGATAAAATCTCACAGTTTTTTAAGGGCTATAAAGCGAAGTCTCCCTGTTTTAAGGTTGACAGGTCTGTTGCAGCTAGAATTAATAGTTAAGCCTCATACCAAAACTTCAGCATAATAAATTGAAATATTTTCTTTGACATTTTCTAGTGGTGGTGGCACAGGTGGCCCATGTCCTGCAGATGATGGTTGGACATATGATGCTGGAAAAGATGAATGGACACGCCTCCCTCATTGTGCATCACCTCGCACATATTCTGCCATGGCATTACTACCAATTGACAAAGATAGTAATGGCAAGGATATTGTTAGAGCTGTGTTGTATGGCGGAAGTGAAACCAGCAAATCTGTTATAACTGTAAGTCATATCGCCCGTTAATCAGTTAGTGTAAGTAGTAGTCTACAATAAACTGTTCTGAGTGGTTTGTGTCTGAATTAGGTGAAAACGATTTATCTAACATAGAACCATGAAAACGATTTATCAAACATAACCCGTACCATTTTTTTGGTTCTTGGACTACCTATTTAGCTAGAGCCCTGTTTACACTTTGCTCAATTTTTGGTACCGTACCACTTTTTGGTTCTTGGACTACCTAATTAAATAGGTAGTCCAAGAACCAAAAAAGTGGTACGGGTACCAATTTTATCTGTGCCGTACCAAAAATTGAGCGTAGTGTAAACAGGGCTTTGGTTTGTGTCGGAACTATCTGAAAAAATATATGATCATAATTTTGTTGCTCCACTTGTAGGTAGTATTCGACAATAAGCGTGCTTTGTTCAACATCAGTTCCTGGATTTAAATAAATGTTGAATTTATTAAGTTTGTGTCTTAAATTTCAGGTAACAAAGGCTCCTCCCAATGAGCTGGTTATTTTCAATCCTGAGACAGAGGAGTGGGCTAAAAAGATTGTAAACGTGAGTAAATATATCTTTGAAGAATGGTTTTAATTTAATATTCAAGCCTCGAGTTGAATGTTTCTTTCACTCCAGGGAACTGCACCTCCAAAACGATCTGGTCATGCAATGGTGACAGTCGACAATGGTATTATTATGTTTGGTGGCTCGTCTAGGTGAGTTTTGTTTATTAAATTTACTGGTAATAGTTCTGGCTACAAATGTCATCTCAATATTTTGTTGATATTTCATCTACTATTTTGTTGTTTGAGTCACATCTTGATTTGAATATTTAGTGATGACATCTGGCTACTGGAAGGAACTGCCATGATGGTGGAAAACATGCCTGACGGAGAAGAGTGTAATCTAGTGTACTTTAGTTATATACAACTGCACGGAATATTTATGTTCATTGGTTGGGGAGTTCTTCTTCAACTTGGGATGTTCTTTGCAAGATATTTCAGAAACAGAGACCCATGGTGGTTCAAAATGCATCGAGCTTTACAGGTAATAGAATGACCCTTATTTATGAATGCAAGAATACTACATAATTTACACTGAAAAGAATTAACCTGATCAGGGCCACAGCGATTTTCCGGGATACCATTTTTCACTCACCCCCAAACTAATGTACCACCATTTGTTAACATTTTTGGTAATATTTTTGTTTTGCTATTATAACTATTACTTTTTAATCAGAGTCACTCAAATATTTTTGCTGACTACGAAAACAATCTGCCAATAAATCTATTATTTTGCAGATAAGATGTTTTCAGGGGGTGTCCCCCCATAGAAACAGAGCCCTGAACATGATATTATATTGCTGGATAACTGCTCATGATTGGCCACAGTGTTTAATGAGACCATACATAAGCTGAATGTCTATTTCATATTTTCAGGTGTCTGGATTGATTGTTTCACTGATGGGGTTCGCCTTTGCTGTTGTGTCTGTTCCTTTTGACCATTTCATGTTTGCGCATGGTGGACTGGGACTAGTCATTATGATCATTGGATTACTCCAACCTTTAAATGCATTCTTGTAAGTTTTTACTTTGAATTCGTTTAATTTATTTGTCTTACATTCTAGTTTGTTTCCAACTTCTTCAATGCGCCCCCTTTATGCTGGAGACATATGATCCGCCTGGACGGGCTAGGATGGCATTGGCTCTGGGGAAATTGAATTTTTCCTGTGCTGTGATTGGTTTAATTATTTAGGGGTTTAGGGGTTCCGGTTGTCAATTTCCCCAGAGCCAATGCCTTCCTAGCCCGCCCACAGGCATTGCTCTGGGTACGATAAATACGGCGTTGTTAACGTTCCTCGGCACTATTGCCAGAATACATTGCATATACACTCAGAGTAACATCACAAGCATCATATTCACCTGAGTACATTACACCAACACAGAAAAAAATCATGATTATTACATTGCATTGTTTTAGCTTGTTCCATTTCAACAATTTTAAGAAACAAAACACACACTCCTTGTTAGTTCGTCTGGACAGGTCGTTACGAAGTTCGGGTTTTTACATTTTGATGTTTCTTTACCAGCCGTCCTCACAAAGCTGACGAAAGTGGGCAAAAGAGTTTGAAAAGAATGATCTGGGAGATTTACCACATCAACGCTGGTCGTCTTGCTTTGCTTCTTGCCTTGATCAACATCTCATTGGGCGTCTTTCTCGCTGTCGTGCCCTACACGGCGTGGGTCATCTGGTTCGTTATGTTTGCCTTATGGGTGACTATTTTGATTGTCATGGAGATTCGTCTTCAGTACCACAGATACAAGTCAGGCGAGGGACGCATGGTGGAAATGACAAATAAATGAAGTTTGCGCACTCTAGCATTGGCTGTCTTCACCTTGGATAAAAAACATCATTTTATTATCGTTCTTTGTGTGCTGTATATATTCTTAATTGTTCATTCGAAAAACGTAAATAATTATCATTTGTAACGACTGTATTATGTAACAACCGACGTAGTTCAATCATGTTGGACACTAAATTCCACGACATCAGTCAATGATTTGATTAACTGGAATATTAAAAGATAATTTTGATTTCTAATGTGTAGATTTATACCAGTTTTTTTAATCACTGTCTGTGATATTGAATCAACCCTCTAGTCACATAGAGGTGAAAGGCACTCACTATAACATCTACATCTACGGCCAATACCTCTGCCTCTGTACTATATAATGATTAATGTAGTTCGAAATAGTTCTGCATGTTCACAGTACTATAGTTGGAAATACCGTCATAGTTCTAGATATTTGCACAAAAGGAACCGTAATAAGAAGATCGTTAACAGACCTTAGCATTCATTAATTCTGCAAATGACTTATCAAAGACTTATACTGTTATAGTGTGTATGCACGGTAGCATTTTTAAAGTGGGCACATCGTTGCTATCATTGAATTAAGAACCTCCATAAAGCCTGGTTGCCATATGGTCGTAAAGATTGAGTCACGATCATTCTCAACAGCTGAAATACAACATTTTAAACTGATAGAGAATACTTATGATTTATATGTAGTTTACAGGTAAAAACTGTTTGACGAGAAACGTGACTCAATCTGTCAACGACAGTTGCAACCATATATGGAAACCATGTATAGGCTTAAGGCACAGTACCCTTGATTGCTCCAGGAAGTGATTTATGTTACACGTAGATTAACAGAGGTCTTTAAGACTGATTTTGTGGTAGAAATTATATTTGTAATTCTTTATAGCTATAAAAGTGTCGTTAGTGCTATATTTGGACAGAGGAACGTGTATAAGAAAATCCGACTGACTTTAACCGTCGTAATCAAACGACTCTCAGTTGACAGAGGTCTTAAAAACTGATTATTGCTGCCCATATGTATACATAGCTAAGATATTAGGCAATACTAGGTGTATGCTGAAAATCGTCACACTTTTATGATGGGATTAGGAAGCCACGTTAGTAGCCTTGACTTCTCTATTATAGGGAATCACAAATAAGTTCTTCATTAATTAACAGCCTTTCAGTATTTTTATGAGGGGTTAATAGGAGTAGTTTAGCTAAAATATATAAGAATTTCAAGGTTATAATCCATAAATATTGAAGTACATACCTACTTTACTGAAATTCGAGATTTCATGACATCCTTTGATAAAGACACAATACTATGTTTGGCGTTGCAACCTGGGAACCTACATCACGGAAACTCTCTTTTGTGAGTTTCTTCAGTAATAAACACCTCTTTTGTGCTATAATCCAGATGTTGATGTATTATATATAAAAAAGACTACAAGGATTAATTTGGGTATCTAAATAATGTCTATATACATTTAGAATATTGAAATCCCTGCAAGAAAAGAGTGTTGCGGTATAGATCTGTGTTGCAAAAATGACTTTTCCTTTGACCTTCAGGCTACGTTAACCAAACAATTAAAGAACACTTTGGTATGAAGTCGTAAGAGAGTCATTGAAGGTCGCTCTGTTACTTTGGCAACAAAATAACGCTAATGCACTCATGTCAAACGCTCGTTCATTGTCGAAACCAAGTAACGAGCAATTTATACACCCAAGTTTTTAACCAAACCAAGAAAATAAAATTTAGCTAAGTATTAACAAGACGCAGAACAAATCCCTAACACATTGAAGTTCCTTACTTGAATCTGGCATTTCGTGACTTATAAGTCAATTGTCGTAATTTATTAGCTTATAATGAAGAGTCATATCCGGTTATTCTCATGCATTATATATATGACAGTTATAAAGCTTGGTAAACAAAACAAGGTGTGTAGTTAACTTCAGACCATATACACGGCATAGAAGAGAAGAGACTTTAACAGAAGAGAAGAAGATGAAAGGTGTAACAGTGTTGCTGTTGTGCTGTATTGTACGTGTTACGCACCAGTTGCAGTGGCAGTTACTTGCAGCAGACAATAAAAGTAAGTTTGCCACTTGTTGTTAATTTAATATGTCACTGAAGTCGATATATGTCTTTATATGTCTAAATGTAGGCGGGCTTCGCTAAGCCGCCGTGCTAGCTGCAGATACAGTCAAGGGACATTGTTTTGAGTGAGAAAATAATTTCTCATTCATGATATGAAGTCTTTTCGTGATATGTAGTGGTCATTATTTGGTCGCAAAAATAGACTTGAGAGATTTCGTTTGATTTCTCTTGCTCTTATCTTTTCTTGCCCAGTTCTGAAGTTGACCAATTGCTGTTCTGTGTGACTGACTGTAAAAACAGTCGCTTGTAGATGGTCAATTGAACTGCTCGATCATATTCCCATGCTACCTGCTGAGTCTTGTAAATGAACTACTAGCCTAAATTATATACTCGAACATGTTTCTATGTGAAAAATACAAGGAAAGCTTCGACGTTTCGAGCCATTCAAGGCCACTCGTCTGAAAGTTAGCAAAACGTTTTCTCCATATCACATATGAACAATTATACAATTTCACGATAATAACCTGCATGAATATTATTACTATATGCGTGAGAACTTAACGGCGTTTAGGTTTAAGGTATGTAAATTATAATGTATAATACTGACAAAACGTAAGAACAATGATACATTTTGCATTCGGATGATCACAGCAGGTATATGATGAGCAGGAAACTCAGGATCCAGGCATCTTTACTAAAAACACGTCACTGTCATGTGTAGTGTATATCTTCCTGGATGGTTTTTTGAATGCATAAAAGTTTTCCTGACTTGTGGTCCAAAATTAGAATCGTGAAAACTTGTATTGTCCTAAATCTCCATATAAATGTTATCCTACTTTATGAATTATGTTAAAATGAGAACGTTTTCAATTTTTATACGTTGTGAAAAGATTGAAGACTTGAACAGATATATTGAAGAAATGTTGTTAATCTGTGGGGGTGCTCTAGAATATTTGAATTAAATGTAGGCCCACGGTAATTGACTGTCTTTTCTTTTGCAGTTAGATTGTATATATTTTTGTTATATTTTTAAATATGTCCATCTGTCTAGCTGAAGGACCGGGTTCAAGACGTGACTGCGCTCTTGGTTACCATGACGCTGAAAATCGTCTGTTTCTTTTCGGCGGAAGATCAAAGGGCAAGATTCATAACGATACTTGGTACTATGACTTTGATGATAAGAACTGGACCATGGTCAACCCAACTACAGCACCAGAGGCTCGGTTTACCATGGCCTTTGGTGTTTGGGACAATAAGATGTTTATTTCAACTGGAGAAGGTCCGAAAAAAGTTTTCTATAATGATGTATGGAGGTGAGCGAATATTTACTTCACTATTCATCTTAGCTCTACCAGTTCTAAACTGTTCTTCCTAGAGGTCCAGTAAGGACAAATCCTTACACAAGATGACAAAACTAATTTGTTTTTGTTGAAAGTAAAGCTTTCATCTTCATTAAATATTTATTCTTTTAAAAACCACTTACTGACAAGTGTTTCTCAAGGACGTTTGTCCTAAATTGCACTTAAGAATGTAAGAGATTCTGTAAAGTGTTCTTTAACTAAAGTCATCTTTATGGGCGGAACACGACATATTATAGATATTTCAAACATTGTTACACGCAATTAGTAATTGCAACACGAAACAGTAATTGCAACACGAAACAGTAATTGCAACACGAAACACGGCGGCAACCAGTGGCTCGAAAATGTCGGTCATATATACAATCATGCTCTTTCTAAAATATATTCAGACAATTTGGAAAGTTACACTTTCAATCGGACATTCAAGGTTACGTGCGTATTAAGTGCGAAAGAATGAACGTCATAACATGTCGTGGGCGTATCGTAGCAGCGGGAGATCTTGAGTAACTGCCATTCTTTTTGCTCAATTCTTACATTAACATTTAACAAACACAATTTAAATACAGGAACTTCGTGTCCTAACTATTTCTCTGCAATCCGAATTCCACCCCTAATCCTTCTGATTTTTTAAAAGATGATTGATAATTGATTTCAACCAACAAACTTCATGTTCTCTTATTTTAGGTTTGATTTCGTCACAATGCAATGGGACAAATTACCCCAAGGTACCAATCCCCCGGAGGAAAGATACGGTGCTGCGGGCGGTATATACCCGGGTCAAAGTCTCCTGTGGATGAGTCATGGCTTCGCTGATATCAGATACTCGAATACATTCACCTATGATCTCATTAATAGCCGAAACAAATGGGTTGAAGAGTTTACTGGAACAAGCTCATATAACCCGAGATACCCGCACGCTCGCTGTGTCCAAGGAGCGACCCCTGTCACCCCGGATCATTTCGTCATGTATGGTGGATGTCTAGGGTAAGATGTGGATAAATATCTTGAATAGGGTTAACCATTGTCATTATGAACTCCCCTCTGTTCAGCCTGCTACTGTAGATATCAAGGAATCTTCTGAGTGGTTGAAGGACCAGAAAGTTTTCCTTCCTCGCACGTATGTCACCTTGACTCGAGTGAATTAGATAACCACACTCTCAGTAACTGAGTTGAAATAAATAATTAACTAAACGTGTTCTTCTGTAGTGGTGGTGAAACCGGGGGGCCATGTCCGTCATCAGATAGCTGGTTGTTCAGTCGTGTAAACAAGAAATGGAAGAGATTAGAAGAGTGTTTCTCCCCCCGGATGTTTCCTGCTATGGCTCCACTTCCTATGGGAGTTAACAAACTGAGATATCGAGCTGTGATGTACGGCGGAGGTCAGAAACGTCCCATTGAAGATACGGACGAATTCAGTGTTGTTTGGGTAAGGAATAGTTTGTATTTTTTGCTGGGAATATGTTGACACTACTTTTATGGTTCCCACTGGTTTGCCGCTTAATGCAATTAAGTCATTTATTGCGTTCGTTGAGCGAGAACAGTAATTAGCAAACCATATCTTAAATGACTAAACCATGTGTTTTATCGTAATATTTTAGGTTGATGAAGCTCCTATGGACGAAATAGGAGTATTTACTTTACACATGTCTAATGAAGGCGATGACGATCCAAGCACGAAGTGGGAGCGAAGACGAGCGGTACGAAGTCCCACTTGTTATTTTTATTGTATTTTAATTTTACATCCCTTAAAAGGCTTTTCAGCGTATATTGTCTCTAGAGAATTATTACTGTATATTTATTCTTGGACTGATATTGTCTCTAGAGAATTATTACTGTATATTTATTCTTGGACTGATATTGTCTCCAGAGAATTATTACTGTATATTTATTCTTAACATAACGCTTTTTCTGTGTTAGAAAGCAACTAATGGTACAGATGGCATTCCTTCATGGAGGATTGGGCATAGTTTCTCGACTGTGAGGGAAGGAATACTTATGTTTGGGTATGGAGCTATTATTTAGAAATCTTATATTGTATAATGACTGAGAGTTGTCTTTCACCACAAAACTTGATAAAGAATTAAGTTTTTTCTCATTCCTGCTGCTTGACGACGTGCAAAATATCCTCTCTTATACTAATCAACATTCTTGATGTTTAGTGGAGGTAAAGGAGATGATATCTGGTTATTGAAGGGAGACGTTGACAGCGTTGATGAATCAGAACTAATAGGAGATGGTTGTTCATCTAAATATTGGAGTCTCATTCATTTCCACGGTTTATTCATGTTCCTGGGCTGGGGATTACTACTCGTGGCTGGAGTATTCGTCGCTCGATTCCTTAAACACAAAGATCCACTTTGGTTTCACCTTCATAGAATATTTCAGGTAGGAATAATTTGTATGCTCAGTAAGACACGAATGATATTTGATGAAAAATCAAATTTTCTACTAGATATACAAGTTCCTTCATATTCATGATTTCCTTTGTGGGTTTTTCTCATATTTAACGCCGTGCAATGTTAATAGTTACATTCTTCTTCTGAAGGTGGTAGGACTGTTATTCAGTATCGGAGGTTTTATCTGTGGAGTAATGTCTGTACCATCAGATCACTTCAAGTTTGGTCATGGAGCTATTGGTTTGATCGTTTTTTTGATTGGCTTACTTCAGGCTCTCAATGGAGCATTGTAAGTCCTTAGATTTATTATTTTTTTGAATAATACGACAGATGGGAGTACTGTATTGCAATAAAACCTAATTCATATTACAATCCTCATTGTAGCCAAAACTCTATCTTAAATCCTGACACCCTATAATGCTGAAACCGGTACTAATACGAACCATTTCCCCATAACCATAGCCCGTAGACCTTCATTTAAATATATTCCAATTGTCTATATATTTACCGTCAAGACGAGTTCTTCTCTAATATAACTTTATCTTCTCCATACAGACGACCTCACAAACAAGAGGGAGACGAACAAACCATCATTCGCAGAATTTGGGAATTTTGTCATAGATTCTTCGGTCGTTCAGCTCTCATTCTTGCTCAGGTCAATATTTCATTGGGAATGTTTCTCGCTGTCGTTCCTACCGCTGTCTTTGCCGTGTGGTTTGGTTACCTTGGCGTCTGGGTATTTTTGTTTGTATTGATGAATATCAAGAAATGTCGGAGTGAATGTGGCAACGGAATAAAACCTGGGGTTTCAAGTGGAAACTATCAAATGAACTCGAAGTTGTAAAATAGATTTTTGAAAACAAACTGCTCATACATTTATATATGCAACCTTAGTGGGATTAGTTTATATAATCAAATTTGACTGCTTATATATATATATATATATATATATATATATATATATATATATATATATATATATATATATATATATATATATATATATATATATATATCATGCATGTATAATCTTATGTTTTTCTCACGGCGATATTCCCGCCATTTCTGGGATACTGCCTCTTCCCAGAGTCTCCGCACCACGAAACTTTTTATATTGTAGTTGTTTACAGTTACAACTTTTAAAAGTCGCTTTTCACGTTATTTGAATAGGCAATTCCAGCTTTTAGTTTATGCGTGCAGGGGACGACGGGAAGTAAGGTATCACATTGGTGATTATGCTGAAAAAATAAAAATGGTGGCCGTGTAAACACGGAGTGATAGCTTATACTTGTAAATATTGAAACATATCGGTTGTTTCGGTAGTTTTTATTGAAATTTTTCAGCATAATCAGCAATATGATACCTTACTTCCCATCATCCCCTGCAGGCATAAACTAAAAGCTGGAATTGCCTATTGTCTAGAATCTTTTACGAGGGCGGACAGGTTTTGGCCTTATGCAAGAAAAGTTTAATAAAACACGATTTGTGTATTTGAAATATTCCTGTTTTATATTTATTTTCACTCTTCAGTTTCTAAACGAACATGTAAGACAGCAGAAATCCCCGAAATTATCCAACATTGACCCTTGTTATGACGGTCTAACACCATCTAACCCTAATTATCCTAAGCTCGAGCATGACACTAATCCCAGCCGTCAAGGTCAACACAAATTTCCATGGACAAAAGTAACTATATATGATGACTTCAGTTCGGTACATTTTATATCGATACATTATTATTTCGGTACATTGATGGTCTACTAAAATAAAATTAAATGTATAGATTTTTATTATTTTAATGCTCTGTTAGAGAGTGACCATTGATAAGGCATGATGATAACTTGATAACTTTTATTTCGCATTATTTCAAGATAATACAATTGATTTACAGATGGATAGAAAATATACATAGAATTAAATATTAATACATAGAAAGGAAGGGTATAGAGACCGAAGTAGCATAGCTTTCGAGCCGGCCTCTGAAATGGTGAATGCTTCTTTTTGAGTCTTTTTGTGGAGGGAAATTCAATATAGCATGCTATATCTTTAGCAATCAAGACTCATTAAAATATGCACAAGACGGCAACATTCAAATATGCACAGGAAAGCGATCATTCAAATATGCACAATTTGTTTTGAATTCAAGATAATTGCCTGTTCTGCTCGACTGAAACGTCTTGTTTTCACACAATGGGGGTTTGTGATTTATGCTTAAAATATCGCGTGGGAATTGCTTTCCCAGTTTGATATGCTTTGGACAGAACCAAATGTAACATAGAACGACCGATTTCGCTTTTAATGAAAATGGCGATCAAATTTTAAGCACATTTTTGGAGCTGCAGCCATATTTTGACCACTAGAGTTGGTTAAATTGAGCGTTAAAGCTAAGGGAAACCTTGAACAATTTCAGTAGCAATGAGGTTATATTATTTCGTCGCTCTGGCGTTAATCATCAAGCCCACTTGGCAAGAACTGGTCTGGGAAGAACTCACAACAAAGTCTGGTTCTATAAGCCCAAGGAGAGATGCAGCCATTGCTTACCAAGAAAGTGAGGATGCTGTGTATATATTCGGTGGCAAGTCGGTCAAGAACAGAGCACTGGATAATAATATGTACAAATTTGATTTGAATACAAAAATATGGACAGTGCAAATCAACAATCGAGATGTGCCGAATGCCAGATTTAGCATGGTGTATGGTACCAAGGGAAACTATTTCTACATTGCTACAGGCGAAGGTATCATGTTTATACTGATAAGAATTAGGTTAACCAGTTTGTCGCTTCAAGACAATGGTTAACTTGAGAAAAGTTGAAAATTAAACTATATCTCGTCTTTTTATTTGCCACCAAATACAAGACTATAATGAACATAATTATACCATTATTTTATCACTCTGATAATCTCTGTTTGACCGCCGTTTACTGCACGATGATGCTCAGTGAAACCCACCTTTGTATACGTTTAAGTCGTTTAATTTGTATTTCTGACAGGTTAAAGTTGAAGGAATAAGATATAATAGTGAGAAATAAATCATTTACCCCGTATTTCTTTCAAGATTAGATGTCCAGAAATGAAAGCTTTTTGTTCTGGACTCCGTGTATGGTGGCTTCGAGCTCATTCGCTCAGCTCGTTCATTGCGTCACAAAACACTGGATGCTTTTTATTATTATTCCTTCCAGAAATATTCCATATTTGCAACTGGTATGCCATAAATTTTCTATGAATATATCTGACATTTCTGCGCAGTTTTCCAAAAGGAAGAAATATTTTCCGCGCAAAAGTAAGACTATATTCAGTCTGGGGTATATCCTTGCTCTGTTCGCTAAACAGGGTGTATAAAAAAACCGAACAGATTTAAAATTGCTCTCAATTTCGCAAAAAAGCTATTAGTATCCAGGTTTTGATGTATATAGCTTCTTTGGGTACGTATAATGTAGAATAATGGAAAAACTTCTCCGGCGAACTCAAATTTTGTGAACCAGGGGGGTGTGTCTTTTCCAACAAACTAAAAATGGCTTGCGCACGAAATTTAAAAGCTTTAATCGTATTTTGAGTTAATGGATGAAAAATTGTTGGGTTTTTATAAATTACTGTACAAAATTTCAGACAATTTGCTTTAGTTTAAGCTTTTAAATTTCGTGCGCAAGCCATTTTTAGTTTGTTGGAAAAGACACCCCCCTGGTTTACAAAATTTGAGTTCGAGAAATTTTTTCATTATTCTACATTATAAGTACCCAAAGAAGCTATGAAAATAAAAACTGAATACTAATAGCTGTTTTGCGAAATTGAGAGCAAATTCATTTCTGTTCAGTTTTTTTATACACCCTGTATATTTCGCAGATATTGACAGCAGTGGAAAGTCAACCTACTACGATGATTTTTGGAGATTTCACTTCCCAACCAGTAAATGGGAAGAAATGAGTTCGAACAACAATAAACCAAAGAAAAGATCTTCGGCTTCAGGCGGCATCCATGAGGATGACTCATCCTTCGTATTGTCTCATGGTTCAAATGATGATGATAAGTTTTCAAACACGTTTTCATACGACATTGACCAACCTGCCTCCACCCGCGCCTGGGAAGAGATCCACTCAGGCACTAATAATTATAATCCCAGTTACCCGCATGCCCGATATCAGCAAGCTGGTTTAATGGTATCGAAAGATAAACTGTTGCTATTTGGGGGTTGTTTGAGGTAAATGAATAACTGTCATGTTTTGAGGAAAAGTTGTTTGCTATGCTATAGACTTAGTTATTTGGTTAGCTAGCTGGATACTTAGTATTTCGAGTAGTAAAGTGAATTAGTTTCTAACCCTTTGCAGTGGTCAAGGCACAGGTGGCCCATGTCCATCAGATGATTCCTGGACGTATGACAAAGCTTCCAATGAATGGTCAGAGCTCAACAGATGTTCATCTCCCAAGATCTCGCCTGCCATGGCGCGGTTACCAAGTGGAAATACGTCAATTCACAGAGTTGTATTATGGGGCGGGAATGCTGATAGTAGAACGACATTAGCGGTGAGAACATCATTTAGACAATCACATAGTGTTTTTGACAATTTTCAGAAGTGGGTTGAGGCATTTTCGAATTTTAAAAAAATTTGGTGTGGTCCCCTCTTTCGTGATCCTATAATTGTCTGTTGTTGCCAGCAGGTTTGGGGATTTGTTGGATGAAAAATCGTATATTTAACAAGTATAAAACATTTTCCGTGTTGATATACAGTTATATCAACACGAGTGGAAATTGGGAAAACGAGAATTTCCACGAGTGTTGTCAGATATAACTATATATCAATACGGAAAAAATGTTTTATATTTGTTTTATAATATAGCGCAAAGAAACATAAAGAAAGAAATTTTCCGACGTTTCCGTGTTGACATTAGTTATATCAACACGGCTCTTAGCCAATCAGCGTTCAGAATTTACAAATGCTATATTATAAAATATGGCCACGCTAATAGTGTATTTACGCACGTTCAAAGAACACACACATTCAACACTGACAGCCTTTTATTACTAATTAATTCGATATTGCTGATATTTTCATCTTTAAACTTGTTTCCAGTCCGATGACGACAAGGAGGATGAGATTGCGGTATTTGACCCAGACAAAAATGAATGGAAGATAAAAAAAACACAGGTATAATGATAATTGATCCATTCAGAACAGACGCGCGGCTGCTTTATTCACTTGAAATAATTTGAAGATCTTTGACCAAAACAACAATGTTCAAACTGTTTGTTTTTACTTTCAGGCGAAAATGACATTTCCCTCAGCACGTGAAGGTCACGTGATGGTGACGACAAAATATGGTGTTGTGATGTTCGGTGGTGAAGATCTGAGGTTGGTGTGATTATTGTTTGAAAATTTACAAACTTAGACACAAAACTTTTATGGAACAATAAATTAAGGGCAATTAGAAATGTGAATGGACCTTTTTCCTTATAACTAAAATTTTGATCTAGACAAGTCTAGACAAGAATTTCACCACAGCTTGAAAGAGCATCACAAAATTAGTAATATTCCAAAGTTTCGTTGCGAAATGTTGTAAAATGCGGATAATATAGCCCTGCGAAATTTGCAATTTTCAGTCATTTTGTATTACAAACGGGAAATTGATG